CTTCCTTTTTCCATCGTTGGCACTAAGGCAGCCCGTGGCGTGAAAGCCCGACCAAGCCCGTCAGCAGACGCTGACCATCCCCCACAACCAAAGTTCGTCTACGCCTTTTCCACACTCGTACTGCAGCTCCGGCTCTATCGCCATCCGGGGGTGGGCGGTCAACGGGTTTGCCCGTGGGCCGTGTTGCAGCTGATTTTCCCTTGTCTTGTGTCTGCTACGGGAGCAGAGTTGTCGTTGATCCGGAGAGCCGCATGCGGTTATTTGTAATACTGAGATATCCCAACTGCACAGGCGGTGCTACAGGAGTACGAGTACGGCAGCAACAACATTGGCCCTGTTCATGTTGGTGATGGAGGCGCTTTTCGTGCAGTGATTCTCGCGTGTGGACCCTGCCTTGTGCGACGAGCAACTCCATTGTCGGTTCATGGTATGGGTGCATGCATGCCATGAGCTACAAAGTGCCCGTGCTACCATTGCTTTCCACCACTTGGTTACCTATATAGTAGGTTTACACACACACAGTTTCAAATCACATCAGTGTGATAGCAGTAGTACCGTATAACCTCGCAACATTCGCCTGTGGGTCTCCCCAGTATTAAACCCTGTTTTCGCCCAGAGAAGAAAGAGGCTAGCTTCCTTACGTTAGCAATTGCTATCATTAGGAACGGTCCACAGGCGAATTTTGCGAGGTTATACGGTAGTAGCATGAAGCCCGTCGAGATATTACTGTCCGTCTCCACGCCAAGAGCCAAGCATCTGCACGGTTGCATCTCTCATCACCAACCAACAGATACAAGTGCCCTCATTGTATGTACGGGTTTTCATCCGTGGCCCCCCATCAAATCCCAAAGCAGAGCAACATTTCTTCATTCTTTCTGCTTTGCATCGCCCCCAACACCCGTTTCTTCCCCATACGAGCACGGCCTGTCATCACTTTACTTGCATGACAACCCCATCTACCGGGAAATCACCAAACACCCAGGCACGTCATCGGGTCAGCATTTAGCACAACTGCTAGAGGGTGAAATCGAGTGACGAGTAACTTCAATGCCATTTGCCATATGAGTTTTGTAGAGCTCCCGGGGTTCAATCGGCCGTCACGAGCCTTTACCCGGTACTGAATTACTACCTACTACTAAAGTGCCTTATCTATGTGAGCTTCGACGGTTGCTTGCGGGCACATACCGGCTGATGTCGAATATCGAATTATCCCAACCAATGACCAAACGACTGGTCCCTGCGTTGGTGAACTACTGGTAGTAATCTTCCGCCAGATAGACAAGACGTAAGAATTGAATGCTTTTTTCAGCCAACTCCCTGCACCCTGATCGGCCCTTCATCTCTTCCCAATGACAGCTCCGTCATGTGTGTAGTTTCTTCCCTGGTTGGCGTGGAAGCTCTCTCTTCAGGGTTGCCTAGGTTAGTTGATAGCTCTCACCTACGCCATAAAGTAATTCCATGTTTAACCTAGGAATAGCGCAATTTCCAGGTTCAGCTCTTGTATCCCATTGAGTGCCATAAGGTGCCATCTAAGTACCGTCGAAAGTTGTAGCCAATCAAAGAGTTCGAAATTGAGATTTCTCCCCTCAATATAGAAGAAAAGTGGGTACGGTACATAGATGGCACCTTATGGCACTTAAAGGGATCTAACGGACATTTTTGGGACATGTATAACAACTTGTTGTAAGCCATTTGCTCAGTAGAATAATGAAACATCTCAGTTTCCTGCCTTGGGGGAAAGAGAGCGCGTTCTCAGATACGAGAGCGCTCAGTTTCTTCGCTCAGTATCCCGCTGCCACTTTACTCTTCGTCTAAAAATTACGTTCATACCTACCACTCCACCTATACCTAAGGTATCCGGATTGTCGCTGCTTTTGACGCCAAGTGAGCGGCCGGACGTGTATACTAAGGGTGCTACAACAAGATAGAAAAAAACACTCAAGTCTAATAGCTTCGACCTATCTAGGTGTTTTAGTATTCTTTACTTACCTAGGTACGCAGTGTCATTGGTATGCGTGCTGCTTGCGGCTGGGCGTTGTTCCATACGTGTCGTGCAATGGCTGTCTTGGGAGACTCGAGTGCACTGGATCGTTGGGAACATCGAATATGTTCCTGGGTGGTGTTGGCGTGTGGAGTAATGTAATTCTTCACGTATCTGCTACTATCGCTACCTTCTATACCATCTGCTATTATCCGCTACCATATGATATTGGATGATACTATTGCTGCTTCCGCTACTATGACTTGGATCTTTCGATATGCAAGTTCAATGTCTACTGTACTCTAGGCCTGTAATTCCAGTCAATTTCATAAAGCTCCATAGAGGGGCTTGCCAACGAAATCTGGCTGTGGAGGGGCAAGAATCCTTATCAGTTTATCGCGCCTAATCCGGCTTAGCGTAAGAGTCATCATGCTGCACACGATGAATTTTGACTCGACGGTGAAATGACTGCTTGTGCTTGTGCAAACCTCCGCAATTTTATAGCAGTCAAAACCTTGGAGGTGCCTGCCTTTTCCCTATTGAACTTGGGTCGTTTGCACGTGAGCTCCCTCACCTCCCTCCAACCGTCGAATCTGTCCAATTCTTAAAATAATTCGCAGAATACCCTCTCTCGACCTCCCTATCAAGCATCAACTGCCCCGCCCACCTCCCGTCACAATGTCCGACGACCCCAAATACGACGATATCCAGTCCGACTCGGACTCTGGAGAGTCCATCGACGCCCAGGATAACGTTGAATCCCTCGAAGACAAGACTCTCAAGCCGGCGCTGAAGAAGTCCAACCCCGTCATCCCCAACCAGGCAGTCGTGAAACCTCCGCTGCCCCCACAGACCGATCCCAAAGATCTCGATGTTTCCGTCCTGACGCCCCTCACCCCCGAGATTATTGCTCGCCAGGCGACCATCAACATCGGCACCATTGGTCACGTCGCTCACGGAAAGTCCACCGTCGTCAAGGCCATCTCTGGCGTTCAGACCGTTCGATTCAAGAACGAGCTGATCCGTAACATCACCATCAAGCTTGGATACGCCAACGCCAAGATCTACCAGTGTGACAACGCCGCCTGCCCTCGTCCGGGATGCTACCGAAGCTACGGCAGTGAGAAGGAGGTTGACCCTCCTTGCGAGCGAGATGGCTGTGGTGGTACATACCGACTACTAAGACACGTCTCGTACGTATCAACTTCTCCCCCCGTCCCGTCCCTCCTTAGCCAAAGGACCGTAACATGAGATTAACCTCTTCCAGCTTCGTCGACTGCCCTGGTCACGATATTCTCATGAGCACCATGTTGTCAGGAGCCGCTGTCATGGACGCCGCCCTTCTTCTCATTGCAGGCAACGAATCCTGCCCTCAGCCCCAAACGTCAGAACATTTGGCCGCCATTGAGATTATGAAGTTGGAAAACATCATTATCCTTCAGAACAAGGTCGACCTGATGAGAGAAGAGGTTACTCAGCAGCACTATGAGTCAATTCTCAAGTTCATCCGTGGAACTGTTGCCGAAAAGTCTCCCGTCGTCCCCATCTCTGCCCAGCTCAAGGTCAACGTTGATGCTGTTCTCGACGCCATTGTCCACACCATCCCTGTGCCCGTCAGAGACCTCTCCCTGGAGCCCCGTATGATCGTCATTCGTTCCTTCGACGTCAACAAGCCCGGTGCTGAAATCGACGACCTCAAGGGTGGTGTTGCTGGTGGCAGTATCCTGCACGGTGTCCTCAAGCTGGGCGATGAGATTGAGATCCGCCCCGGTATTGTCTCACGCGACAACAGCGGTGCTCTCAAGTGCACTCCCCTCTTCAGCAAGGTCATCTCTCTCAACTCGGAGGGCAACGACCTCAAGTATGCTGTGCCCGGTGGTCTGATTGGTGTCGGTACCCAGATCGACCCTACTCTTTGCCGTGCCGATCGTCTGGTCGGTTTCGTCCTCGGTCTCAAGGGCAAGCTGCCCGACATCTACAGCGAAATCGAAATCAACTTCTACCTGCTCCGACGTCTGCTGGGTGTCAAGACCGCAGATGGCAAGCAAGCCAAGGTCGCCAAGCTGGCCAAGAACGAAGTCATCATGGTCAACATTGGTTCCACATCAACCGGTGCCAAGGTTGCCGCCATCAAGAACGATGCTGCCAAGCTGGTCCTGACCAGCCCCGTCTGCACAGACATCGGCGAGAAGGTCGCCCTCAGCCGACGTATCGACAAGCACTGGCGTCTTATCGGATGGGCTACTATTGCGGCGTAAGTCTCCCTGCCTCTTCCCCCTATTAGTTGTTGAAGCTAACATGTATCGTTCAGTGGTATTACTCTGGAGCCCAGCTCAGCATAAGAAAGAAAAACTTGTCTAGGTATATAGCTATTTATTATGGAATTTTGGGCTGGAAGATACGCCTACGGGTATCTCTTTAATAGAGTTAAGGCGGCTTTTTTATTCTATAGTCAAAAAAAATTTCAAATTACCCCAATTCGATCATCAGAAATAATATCACGTAGCTGAAAATGTCCGAAAGATGGAAACAGGGGCACAGGTTATTAAGATCGACATCCAGCTAGCATGATCTGTTATGACAAGCAGTAAAGTTAGGGCAACATGAAAGGAGAGGAAAGCTACACAGCCTCTATCCCAACGGAGCCATCCATTATTACCGCTACCTTCTCCTACCATCTGCTACTATCGCTATTTTCATCTGATATATACTACTACCTAGTACTACTACCTCCATCTACTAGCTGGTGCTACCAGGTAGCATATTTATTTGATATATAGCCGAGAATAGCTGATCGAACAAGATAGCCCTGCTAAAGAGACAAGGATATCGAGCTTCAGTGTGTTCAGTTGAAACGACTACCAATCCAACTAACGAAAATTGAACTTGGAAGAAACCCAACTTGACGTACGGGGATGGGCATGAATAACGGAACAAGATCGCAAGGCACAAACCGCTACGGGATCAATTGACTTGAAAATTGGGACAACCCATAGTATTTACTATACATGATGCAAATCTACTTGCGCACTTTTCGGGCGTGGGCTACCAGGTTCTCTATCACACCTTCAAATGCCTCGCGATCCCCGATTTTCTCATCTGTCCGTTTTGTCCAGTAATCCAGCATCTCTTTGGCTGCTCCCTGCATGGCCTCTAACTTGGCCACATGCTGTTTTAATTCTTGATCCGTCATGCCGTCTAGCGCTTCATCCGTCGTCTGGCAAAGATGCTTCGCTACCACCAGGTCTAATTCCGGCTGAGGTGGAGGCCCCTTCCTCCTCTTAGATGTCGACGGCTTTCCTTGAGAGTCTATTGATGTGGACGAAGCATTTCCGTCGTTTTGTTTGAGTCTTGTCGCTGATCGCAAGTCACTTGAGCCTCTAGGTGAAGATGCAGGGATGTTGAGTGACGGCAGCACAAGCTTCTTCTGCTTGGAGGCTGGGAGGATCTCATCTAAATCTACGGGAACTCCGAGGGAGACGAGGAATAAACGGCGTGTCCGTGAACGAATCCAATCGGGTGGCGCGAGGGGCGGGGGAGCGACGAGCTGGGACCATAGGGAGGCGGAACGTGGTGTAAGGAAAATAGATGAATCTTTTGATAAGTGTGGAAAGGGCTGGAAGTCGAGTTCTTCAGGGGGAAAGAGATTCGGTAAATTCGGTTCTACTGCGGAGATGACTTCATCTAGGCTGAGCCCATCGAAGTCGGGTATCGACTGCAAGAATGTTAGCGTTGAAAAGCAAAAGGCAGCATTTAGGAGTTTTTGTTTCGAATCTGACGAGGGAATCATGCGCATACAAATGGTAATGATTGTTGTTGGAGAATCGGTGGAGGTGCCGGTGTTGTGGTTGTAGGCTGGGCATGTTGAAACCCATCCTCAAAGTCATCAAAGTCATCGTCGTGACCGCCCTCCTCAAAGTCATCGAAATCGTCACCGAAATCGTCGACCTCATCTTCCTCTTCAGCTGCTACCTCTTCATCTGCTTCTTGATCCTGTGTAGCTAAGACTGTTGGTTGGGAAGATGTGTGAGAGTCCCTCCTAGAGCGACCTGAAGAGGACGTGGGTGAAAGAGGAGCATCTGCAGCTCAGTCAGTGAGCGTCCTACTGTAAGTGTTGAGAGCGCTTCAAGTATCCATACCCGAGATGGCATCTTCATTGCCACTTCTTAGCTCGCCATTTGGGCTCAATATTATATCGGGGGTGGCATCTGCCTTGTGCTTCTCTTGCTCTTGTGGGTCGTATTGGCCAGGATAATCGCCTGTAGATTCTTCCACGAGTGTGACAGGAACATCGACCGATTCTAGAGGAGTAGAAGGTGGGGACTCGGTGTCTTTCACGGGTATCATGGCAATCTCATCAGGCTCAGCATCTTGCTCCCTCTTCTTGTATGCCTCGGTACCAGGCACTTCTCCAAATGACGGTTCATTGTCGACCTTTTCCACTCTGGTCTTGGGGAGCGGCGAGCTGACGCCAGGACTCGTGGGCGCAGACTGTGCGTCTGTAAACTGGTCTTCCGAATCTGAAGCCTCAGCTGTAATAAAATGTCAGCAAGGTCTGGGGATCACATGCATCGTCCAATACCCAGAACAAAGACATACCCAGCTGATGGGCCCCCGGGTCCTCGACGTGGGTCTGTGGCGGGGGTTCAAGTTCCCGGGAGTCCGCCATTGCCTCGTGCTGGCACTCTATAAAGCTGGAAAACTATTGGCAAATCGGTTCAGGGGTGTATCTGGATCCAGGGTTCGATTCGTGGAGGCGAATATCGGGTATGTAGGTGTAGTTGAAAGCAACGGGGGCGTAGTCCTATGTCGGCGTCGAGGCCAGGTACACCAGCGTCTTCAGGACATGCCGTTTGCACAGTGGTTCAGCCGTACTCGTATGTATCTAGACTCGTCTGAGCTCGAAAGGGGGAAAGGGCACAGTGTCTAGCCAGGAAATGAAGGTGTCTCAGTCGTTGGTAAGTCGACTATCATGCAAGTAACATGGAGCTCTTGGCCGGAGGCGTGCTTGCGCTATCGTCACGTGGAGGAGGCCACTAGTACCTGATACTGACAGGGAGGCTGTGGCTGGAAATTTGGTCTCTGTGGCTGGGGTTTCGCGAACAGGCTCTCTCCAGCCACAGCACGGCTGCGCGCTCTAGGCCTAAGCTCCTAAGAAAACAGAACCGCGAAAAAAGCACCTAGCCAACCATCAGCCTTGGGGCCGCTCAGTAGTTTTGTTTTCGTTTTCTTCCCTCTCGAATCCGAACCATCGCAGGGTGAGCTGTCGGCAATCCCACACGGCCTCCAATTCCCCGTCTTCATCTTGGCTGAGCTTTGGGATATTATGAAAGCCTGCTGAATCTCCTGATTTACAAAGCAGCTGCCTCGCGCGCATCACGACCGCCGACGATTCAGACAAGCACCAGATAAACCACCCCAATCGCCATGGCTTTCAGCTTTGGAACTCCGAGCACTTCGGGTGCCGCGCCCAATAACACTACCAGCACAGCGCCAGCCGCAGGTGGTCTATTTGGCACTGCTCCTGCTGCTGCTGGAACTCCCAGTTTTTCTTTCGGAAAATCGACGACTCCAGCCACCAACCCTCCTGGAGGGCTGTTTGGAGGCCAGAGCAACACCGCTGCGCAGAAACCAGCTGGCGGTCTTTTTGGAGGTCCTGCTGCTTCTTCAGCTTCTGCCACTCCTACCACTTCCGGGGGAAATCTGTTTGGTGGAGGATCCTCGACGACTCCGGCGACATCTGGTCTCTTTGGCGGCGCGGCCACTGGAGCGTCTGCTACATCGGGTGGCTTGTTTGGCAGCGCGACAACTAGCACAGCACCAGCCGCTGGTGGTCTGTTCAGTAACAATGCATCTACCACTCCGTCTACAGGTGGCTTATTTGGAAACAATGCTGCCAAGACTGCAAATGCACAGACAACTCCAACGCCTGCTCCATCCGCTGGGAATCTGTTTGGAACCGCCAACCCTTCACTCTTTGGAGCCAAAACACCAGCCTCTGGCTCCCAGGCTCTTACTCCGGCTACTGCTAGCACTGCCGCTACTGCAACTCCCGCCAAGCCCTTGTTCTCTATGCCATCGACGACGCCGGCCGGTGTACCGCCAGCCAAGCCTGCAAGCTCAAACTTGTTTGGAACCACAGGGACCACTGCTCCATCGAGTGGTTTGTTTGGCAACGCCGGGGCCAAGCCTGCTGCTACCTCGGCCTCCGCCTTGACTGAGAAGCCTGCAGCTGCTGCCACATCAGGATCAGGGCTGTTCGGTGGTGGAACTCAGTCATCTACAAGTGGCCTATTTGGCGCCAAACCTGCTGCCCCCACGGCTGCCGCACCAAAGACTACAGGCCTCTTTGGCAACACCGCAACTACCGCTGCGGCGCCGGCATCATCCACAACTACCGCGGCGCCGACCACTGCTGGAACAACTTCCTCTCTATTTGGAGCTAAGCCGGCTGCTACCACGACCCCAGCGGCGACATCTGCGGGAGGTCTCTTTGGAACAGCTCCTGCTGCGACCACTACCTCTGCAGCCTCTGGATCTACCCCAGCTCCCGCCGCCGCTTCTGGTTTATTTGGACTGAAGCCGGCTGCCGCCACTACCGCAACTTCATCCTCGGCAGCCCCAACAACCGCCAAACCTACTACTTCACTGTTTGGTACCACGGCTGCTACTACTACTCCTCAGCCCGCCACAGCTGCGACCACCACCGCAGCCACGACAACAGCAGCACCAGCGGCCGCAGCGACTACGACTGGCGGCTTATTCGGAGCCAAGCTTGCTGGTGATAGGGATGCTGCGAAGCCAGCTACCACGACTGGTACCACCAATGCTTTGGGAGCTTCCACTACCGGCCCCCCCTCTCAGATGGCCCGGCTAAAGAATAAGACGATGGAGGATATTGTGACGCGGTGGGCTTCGGATCTGTCCAAATACCAGAAGCAATTCAAGGAACAGGCTACCATTGTGTCCAATTGGGACAGAAACTTGGTGGACAATGGCGAAAAGATCCAGAAGCTATATCTGGACACCTTCGAAGCAGAGCGGGCCAGCCATGAGATTGAGCGCCAACTTGCCGCTGTGGAAAGCCAGCAAGAGGAGCTGGAGGCTTGGCTGAACCGTTACGAGTCAGAAGTTCAAGACATGTTTGCCAAGCAGATGGGCCCTGGCGAGCAACTCGGAGGACCTGACCAAGAACGTGAACGCACCTATAAGCTGGCGGAGAAGCTTACCCAGCAACTCGACGAGAAGTCGCGAGACTTGTCCAAGATGGTCAAGGAGATCAATGACATTTCCGGAACTTTGAGCAAAGGAGCCAAGGCAGAGGACCCCGTAAGTTTTGGCATAATCTTCAATTTTCAAAACAAGTCTTTGCTAACGGCATGATGCAGCTGAGCCAAATTGTTCGGGTGTTGAACAGCCATCTTACACAGCTGCAATGGATCGATGCCAACTCCTCAGCTCTGCAAGCCAAGGTCACGGCAGCGCAGAAATCCAGCAGCAACCTGGGTAGCCACTACGGAAGTGGAGAGAGCGATGTGGCAGAGAGTTTCTATAGATCTTACATGGGACGGAGGTGAAGCATTTCATTGGACATGGGTGATTGAAATTGGAGTTCTGGGATGGTATCAGGAAAGAATGAATCTAATAAAGGCCTTTTTTTCACATGCACAATCAACAGGGGACCCGGTGGAACACAGCACCGGAGTAGCTCTTTTTTCCTCTTGTTTTATGTAATTCTTTTTTTTTGTTCTTGTTTCGTAAGATGGAGAAGAGTTCATGTGGCTGTCCAGTACCTAGGTAGACGGCAACATGGAAAATATGCAGCATATCAAAACAATGTGTAGCCCAATTCGACCTCCAGAGGAGTTGCTTGTTCCCAAACTTCCCGGTCTGAACTGCTCAGTTAATGGCCCGCATGTGCCAAACATGAATCGATTTCGTCTTCTTAGTTCATCTCATTTGTGTCTTTTTCCACCTCTTTTAGTTTTGCTCGCCACCCTGTTCCTTGGTGATCTCATCGCTAAGACGCCCGGTTCATTAGTATTGGGGACGGGCCAATTGGGAGGGGGTTACTAGAAGGGCTGTTGCGCGTACATGTGCTTGGCAAGGCGGTCGAGGTGCTCTTGCTGCTCGGTGAGCTTCTTCCGGAGCTCGAGGAGCTTTTCCTTCTCGCGCTGGCGGATGGCGTACTCCTCTGAGGCTCTTTCGCGGCGCTGGAAAGCGTCGCTATACCAGTGTGCAAACTTGGCGTTAGATGACGATCTCTTCTTTGTCTGACTTGGCTGTATTTAATTGGGAATTGTGACTTACCCAGCGCCGCCCAGCTTGGGGGGAGCACCAGTGTCTCCTTCACTCATGGCGCGGGCAGTGGTGGTGAAAGCGGCGCGCATGGGACGGAAGGCAGCCGTCTTGGTGAGGGTTGTGCGGAGCATGTTTATGAGAGGGGGGTTGCTTTTTGTTGTGGCGGGAAAGGGATTCGAGGTGGTGCAAGTTGAAGGGAGGGAAATTGAAGCGTGGGGGGAGGGAAGTTGAGGTTATAACGGTTGCTTGTCGCAATTGGAGCTTTTTTTTTGGCCTGAGGAGCTGAGCCGCGGGCAGAGAACAGAACCAGCTGCTGTGCTACGGACCTGGGAGTGGCCTGAGGGGCTGAGCGTCATAGGCCGGCAATGCCAGTGGTTCGATGGCCGTTAATCGGGAATAGTGTCGTTGCTGCTTTTTTTTTTCTGGGGGCTGTGGGGAGATGGCAGATTGTTGGCGAGGCTTCCAGATGGGAATCGAAACACAATGATGGAAGCAAGGCTGCAGGTGTGTTTTATTGTTGTTCCAAAAAAAGAAACTAAAAAAAAAAGTTGATATCACTGCCTGTCCTGTTAGATTTGCAGGTGAGGTGTATTGAATTGGTCAAGCTAAGTGACTACCATTTATGACTTTGATATTGCAGCAAGCATGCAGCAAAGCACCGGACAAGAACTTGTATTGGCATTGGCAAGAAAAGAATTCAGTTTGCTTCATCCCGCAAACCAATCGCCACTTGTCATGCGGAGACAGTCCAATCTCAGAACCATACATCACGATACGATCGGATAATGTGGTGGACTGATCGGATGCGTTGAGTTTGACTCGAGCGCAAGCAGCTGATGTGGATGCCGGGTCATTTCGGTACAGATGGTTGCGTGCATACATTCTCCATCTACTCCGTACTGGATTCAGAATCAAATGGAATCTGGCCCCAGGTGTGAAAACTCTCTTTAAAAGCTACCGGTATCTAAGCATATCACTTCACACACTGAACTGGGCTGGTTGCTTGTATTTCTCTTGTTGGTGTAGAAAGTGGTTAGCTATCCAGTATGCTCTCTCGCTTCGTATTGCAAGGTACTCATAGTAGATAGGTACTAGAAGATGGATAGTGATACTAGCAGATGGTTAAAAATCCAAGTAGAGAAAATTTGCCTCTTTTGCGGTCTACTCATGATAATCAACCCTGTATTCGCTAGATTGCTGGGTTCCCTGCCTCTTCACCTTTTCATTTATACCAACCATTGTATCCCGGGTAAGTTAGTAATGCGAGACTGTCGGCTCGTGACGGCCCATATGACCATCGCGATCCTGCTTACTAAGGATCATTCATGGTTCAGCACAGGAGGTGCGAGTGCGAGTGGAAATTAACACCCAAGGGAGTATGATGTAATGGTAATTTCACCCATCGCATCAACTTGGTTGGGTGATCAAAAGGTACCACGCTCTTACTACCACTGGATACCACCTAGCAGGTACGAGTTGTTGCTCTTGTTATTATGGATATGCCTTGTTTGGATCACAGAGAGATTAGATTCTCTCCAACGCATCTCAGAGTGGGGATGCGCAAGGAGCTGGATTGCCGTCCGGGATAAAGGGAAATGAATACCCAATACCTTAGTTTGCTGCTGGACATGGCCGTAATCTCCTGCCGACCATTTGACCAGAGCCGCGTGACTGGATTGCCGGAACCTCATCTTATCAATGAATGGGAGGGCGATGCGAATTGGTCGCAATGGCACCAGGCAGCCACCACGGCGAACAAGAAGGTTGAATCGCGATTATGCCCTTTGAGCAAAAACTTGAACAAAAAGGCAACCAAGGCACAGGATGATGACGACCCATGGCTCGGTTTAGGACTAACTCAACAATACGTCAACGCCACCCACTTGGCGCATTAGGTCTTCAGTTGGTGCTATTTCTCGTCCTGTCCCGTCCTGTCCTGTCCTGTAGAAGCAGCATTTGCAGGCTGGTGCTTCTGCTTCTCTTTGGTTGGGTGCTGGGTGCCCCCCCCATCCTCCCTGTACCTTGCCGTGGTACCTGTTCTCAGCACTGTGACGTGATGGAGAGACAGGGTATGTGTGAGGGACGGTACCTAGATGTACGAGATTAGCAGGTCATCCGACTGCGTAACCAGGCGCCGTTCAAGTACCCACACGTCCCTGTACTTTGCCCACCCCAAGCCCTGGAAAGGGTGAGGCTTCTACGGCACGTGAGGCCCGTGGGCAAAAGCGTTCGACAACCGCTATTCGCTATTAGGACGCTTGAATCAATGCGCTGGCTAACTGGGACCCGACCTCAGCAACAGCTTAAATCTTGCAAGTTCCATTCCCTTTTCTTCTCTCTCAACGAAGCATCAACCCCCCCTTTTCTCCCAGAACCGCGTCTCATCGCACGTACGTATTCTCTCCCGCCCTATGCCTATGCATCCTGCCGAACTTTTCCATCACTCTCCTTTGCCCACGACAGCAGCCCATCCTCTCCCGCCCTGATAGCATTCCCGCCTCGCTATGTGAGCGCCTTATGGCATGGCGCGCGCCCCTCCTCGCTGTCGTCATGGGCCTGGCAACCCCCCGGGCACGCAAGAGGCAGCGCTTCCAGAGCCGTCAATCGCGTTGGGACCGAGCAGCTGCTTGCGACTCTATCAGCGCTATTGGGCCCTGGAATCGCCCTTGTTTCCGTCGCTCGGGCGCCTGCTTGTCTGTCGCGGTAGCTGGCGCATTCGCTGTTAAACCCCCTTTGGTGGGGTTTAAGGAGCGGGGGAGCAAGCCTCACTTGGGCCTTGTCGTAAAGTCAGCCCTGCGGCACTTGTTCCTGCCACGGTGCTTTCGCGCAGGATTTGCTTGTTCATCTTGATGAGGCTGTGGCTGCTGCCTTGATCCCCTTGCACCGATTTTTCTTCCTCTTCGTGTTAAATTCTTCCCATTCCCCTTTGTCAAACCCTAAACACTCGCCTTTTTTGCCTGATCCAACTCTCTTCTTACTTTCTGCGTTACGCCATCTCGGACGCGTGCAACCTGCTGACTGATTGAGCCCAGCTGCCATAAAACTCCAAAAAATCTCAAAAACCAACTGTCAAAATGGGTCACGAAGATGCTGTTTATCTGGCCAAGCTCGCCGAGCAGGCCGAGCGATATGAGGGTTCGTTGATGGCTTTTCTCTCGCCCCGATCGACCGCGCTGACCGAAGTTTCCCAACAGAGATGGTCGAGAACATGAAGATCGTTGCCTCCGAGGACCGCGACCTGACCGTCGAGGAGCGCAACCTCCTCTCCGTCGCCTACAAGAACGTCATTGGTGCCCGCCGTGCCTCTTGGAGAATAGTCACTTCTATCGAGCAGAAGGAGGAGTCTAAGGGCAACTCTTCTCAGGTTACCCTTATCAAGGAGTACCGCCAGAAGATCGAGGCCGAGCTTGCCAAGATCTGCGATGACATTCTCGATGTTCTTGACAAGCACCTGATTCCTTCTGCCAAGTCTGGGGAGTCCAAGGTCTTCTACCACAAGATGTGCGCATCCCATGCTGCTTCCATTGACTCCAATATGCCGAGTTGAGCTAATTTCTTCTTCCCCATCACAGGAAGGGTGACTATCACCGTTACCTTGCCGAGTTCGCCATTGGCGACCGCCGCAAGGACTCCGCCGACAAGTCTCTCGAGGCTTACAAGGCTGCTACCGAGGTTGCCCAGACCGAGCTGCCTCCTACCCACCCTATCCGCCTGGGTCTTGCCCTCAACTTCTCCGTCTTCTACTACGAGATCCTCAACGCCCCTGACCAAGCTTGCCACCTCGCTAAGCAGGCATTTGACGATGCTATTGCTGGTAAGTTTTCTCTTCCGAGATGGGGAAAAGAGCCCATTTCGTTGGGTATTCTAATTGAAATCTGCTGACGCATCTGCCACAGAGCTCGACACCCTCAGCGAGGAGAGCTACAAGGACTCCACCCTCATCATGCAGCTGCTGCGTGACAACCTGGTTCGCATTTATCCCACCCCCGTGATTGGCTGCACATGTTTTGCTAACTCATCATCAAAGACCCTCTGGACCTCTTCTGAGGCCGAGAACACCTCTGGCCAAGCCGATGCTCCCGCCAAGGAGGAGACCCCAGCTGAGGCTGCCGCCCCCGCTGAGGAGCCCAAGGCTGAGTAAACTCAGTTGGGGGAGCGCAGGATGAATCTCTAGGCTTTGGTCGCTTTGGTATCGGATGGGCTGGTGTCTACGGAGTGGATGGAAGACTTCGTTTTTGATCAAGAGCTTCGGCATCGTTTAGGTAAACACGCAACTTTCGGGGAGAGAACCGATTTGGTTCCCCCTCAACGGACTGGCATGGAGGATTGAAGAAGAGCATATTGGAGGTTCTGCTTTTAGACTCTTGATGCGTAGCCGTCTGGACAAATAAAAACTACTAAAATTGCTTTTTAATATTATTTTACTTTTTACCATGTAACCCTTCCCATATGCTTGTCGGTTGCTTGACTCCTGAAAACGCCTTGCTAACCATACTCACGCTTCGTCCTTGCGGTGAAATTTGTGGTAAATTCTACAATGAGGTCAACTCGGTTCCTTTTTATTTGATGTCGACGGATGACTGTCATCTGCTTCATCTACAACGGCAAAGTGAACTTTGAGCCAAAGGCTGCAGTCGTGACAGCCGACCATGAGCACCCCCTCGTGCTCAACTTCTTCTAAATCTGACTCCTGAAAGGAATACCCGCGATCATTGCCGCAGCGACAGGATCTATACCAGCGCTCTTCCTCTTCGTCGAACTGCAAATCGTCCAAATCGACGTTTTCGATGCCTGTCTGAAAGCGAGCCTGTGAACCGTCGCTGTTGGCCCTGGTGAGACGCAGGTTGGCGTCGTAGGTGCTGCGCTGGCGAGGCGATGAGAGAACTGTGAAGGCTTGTGTGATTTGGTCTATGGTGTAGAGTTGAGACGGGGATGAGGCTGATGTTGAGACCGAGGGAGTAGCAGCAGCAGCCTTGTCGGGATGGTGACGGAGGAGAGCCTTGCGATAGGCCTGTTTTATGAGTGTGGAGGGGTCATGTTGGGAGTTGAGGAGGGTGGGGGTGAGACCGAGAATCTCGTAGTGAGATGGCGAAGAGACCGCCATGAGGTGTGAAGAAAATTAAATTAAACAGAGTGAAATGCTTAAAAGACTTGAGCGTTTCTACATATGGCTCTTAGATGTTGTGTTTGAAGATACTGGAGGCGGCAAATTTAGACATGTCAAAATCACGTGATGCTAATGAGCCTTTGCTAACAGAGGCAAGGACATGATGGAAAGTTGGATCAATGCAAGGTGAAAAAGGAAGCAGAGAGAGTTTGAAGTGAATCTGTATATTCGTTTCTCATTGTTGTACATAGAAATACACGGCACATGTACATAGTCGCCGGGATAAAGTGGTTTTTCTCCTGCATCATTTCGTTTATTTCGGGAACTTGGTCCAGTTTCTCTTCCCAATCTGTTGTGCGTTTTTCAAGTCAGCTATGTTCCATGGCTTGTAGAAACTAATGGGGGATAAGTAAATCCTTACACTTTTCCATGCCCGGATGAGTCTTGGCATCTCGAGCATGGCTTTCCTCCTCTGTTCCATCCTGGATGACTGTGTTAGTCTCGAGTGATCCAACAACACGAAGAAGATGGATAAGAAGGTGATTGACATACTTTGCAATCATGTGTCGTTCGTGGATGTGACCCTTGACCTTCTGTCCCACACCCGTACCCTTGACTCTCAGACCATGCTCAACACGATGAGCCAGTTGGTATTCGGTGCCCTTGGTCGTCTCGGGCAGCAGCTCTTCAACGCCGTGGTCCCGCGCGAGCTTGACCAGCTGCGCCTGTCTTCGATGTGAGTAGACGGGATCCTGCCACCGCCCGGTCACGGGGTGTTTGTAGAATCGAAAGGGATTTGGCCGTTGCTCCTGGAACGGCGTCGGAGCAGTGCCGGGTGCGACGAGCGCTGCGGGCGGCCAGCGCGCAAAGAAGCGCTGCAGCGGCTCTGGGAGGCTCTTTGCGAGCTGGACGAAGCTGGAGGAGGAGGCCATGGGCGCTATGAGGTGCCAGACACTGGCATTGGCCTGGTTTCGGAGGGACGAGGGCGGAATGGCAGGGCTGTTCTGCTAGGTATGACTTGATCGCGGGGAGGCTCTTTTTTAGAGGTTCCTAATTTGAATTCGAATTCGAGATTGCCAAGGCTGAACATCCACTAACAGGGACCCGCTAATACTAGTTGACCTCATTGGTCATAAATCTTTGGGTGGGCCTGAAGCTCTCCATAATTCATAGCCTTGTCTGCTTCCTGCTTGCCCAAGTTCAACATTCAATTTATTTCACGTCAGAAACTACCTGTGCATGCGGACCCTTGATTCCTCTTTACCTTGCCTACTGAATACAACATATACCACGGACCCGAAATGCCTCTTGACATAGAAGAGATCCTTCGGAAAAAGAAGGCAGCCGATGCTGCTGCGGCTAAACCTAGATTTATCCCCAAGGCAGAACGCGAACGACTAGCTGCTGAGAAGGCGAAACAGGAGGAAGAAGAGAAGAAGCGTAAGGCGGTGGATGATTCACAACGGCGGCGGGACGAAGAGAGAAGATGGGAAACCCGCGCAAACGGCCTGCCAGCCTCTAATGGCGCCCTTAACGGCGCCCCCAACGGCATCGCGCCACCCACAGGTCCAAGGGCGATGAATCAACAGGCTGGAGGCGGCGGCGGCGGTAAAGGCCGAGACGGGCGAGATGGACGGGACGGGCGGGACGGACGAGATGGAAGAGATGGAAAGAAAAACTCAAAGACCGAAGGCGTCAAGCGCTCAGCGGCGGAGATTGAGGACTCGCTACTACGCTCGCGGTACCTTGGCCCAGAGGTCAACCAGCAGTCAACCTTTTCGGCCAAGAAGAAGCGGATGCGGACGACGGAAAAGAAGTTTAACTTTGAGTGGGATGTAGATGAGGACACATCGAGAGACAACGATCCGCTATATATGAGCCAAAGCGTCAACAGAGGCGGCTCCCTGGCCGGCGTCGGTGGCGAGTTCGACAAAGAAGCCGAGCAGCGGGCGCGCAAACGAGCAAAGATGATTGAGCAGCGCGACCTAGAACATGGCAAGGAGAGAGCAATAGGAATCATGGAAGACTTTTACAGGGCGCGGGAGAGGGCGCGGGAGAGGGCTGAGAGGACGGGCCTGGGACGGCACTGGTCGGACAAGGACCTCAACGAGATGCGCGAGCGAGATTGGCGCATCTTCAAGGAGGACTTTGGCATTTCGACCAAGGGAGGCGCGATTCCCAATCCAATGCGTAATTGGCAGGAATCCGGGCTGCCGCAACGGCTGCTTAACATTGTGGACAATGTTGGCTACAAAGAACCCTCTGCTATTCAGCGAGCAGCCATTCCAATTGCTTTGCAAGCTCGCGATCTTATTGGCGTTGCCGTCACAGGTTCCGGTAAAACTGCTGCTTTCTTACTGCCCCTTTTGGTGTACATCTCCGACCTGCCGCCCCTCACAGAGGCCAACAAGAACGACGGCCCGTACGCGCTCATCATCGCGCCAACTCGTGAACTGGTGCAGCAGATCGAGACGGAGGCGAGAAAGTTTGCTGAGCCGCTGGGCTTTAGGTGTGTCAGCATCGTTGGTGGGCATTCGCTGGAAGAACAGGTCTTTGCTCTGCGCAACGGTGCCGAGATTATCGTCGCTACGCCAGGTCGTCTCGTCGATTGTATAGAGCGAAGACTTCTTGTCCTAGTGCAGTGCTGCTACATCATCATGGACGAGGCTGATCGAATGATTGACCTTGGTTTCGAGGACTCGGTCAACAAGATCCTCGATGCGCTACCGGTATCCAATGAGAAACCGGATACAGATGACGCTGAAAACGCCCAGCTCATGAAGCGGTATGTAGGAGGCAAAGACCGATATCGTCAAACTATGATGTACACGGCCACCATGCCACCGCTGGTTGAAAAGATTGCTAAAAAGTACCTTCGCCGTCCCGCCATCGTCACCATCGGTAATGCAGGCGAGGCCGTCGACACCGTCGAACAGCGCGTCGAGTTCGTTTCCGGCGAGGACCGGCGCAAGAAGCGGCTGCAGGAGATCCTCTCCTCGAATGCCTTTGCGCCCCCCATCATCGTCTTCGTCAACATCAAGCGCAACTGCGACGCTGTCGCCCGCGACATCAAGTCCATGGGATGGTCCGTCGTCACGCTGCACGGATCGAAGACGCAAGAGCAGCGAGAAGCCGCGCTCGCATCCGTCCGCTCGGGGCAGACGCAGGTCCTCGTTGCCACCGATCTTGCTGGTCGTGGTATCGACGTGCCGGACGTCTCGCTCGTCATCAACTTCAACATGGCAACCAATATCGAGAGCTACACGCATCGTATCGGTCGTACTGGTCGTGCTGGAAAGAGTGGTGTGGCTATTACGTTCCTGGGCAACGAGGATGCGGATGTCCTGTATGACCTTAAACAAATCTTGAGCAAGAGCTCCATCTCAAAGGTACCCGACGAGCTCAAGAGACACGAGGCGGCGCAGTCGAGGCCGGTTCGCGGAGGAGCCAGCAAGAAGGATGAGGCCGCTGCCTCTGAAGGAGGCAAAGGAGGAGGCGGCAAAGGAAACTGGTAACTTGGCCAACTTCTTATATAATGTTTTATGTAAAAAGACGGAGTTTAGGTTTATTACTTTAATCAGATGGCAAAGAGATACTGGTCATCATAGTTTACGACTCCTTCTATTTTGGAAGAAACCTTGACTATCTTAACAGCTTTTTATTATTCTTGTTTTACTTCTCTGTCGTGTCCTCTAGAGATTTTACCCCTTTTTCCATCTACATGAGAATACAGCCCTTTAGATCTCAGGCTACTGTTTTCGCACACAGTCTATGCTGTCTACTCCAACTTGAGCTGCTCAAACTGCTTAATTGTCTCCTCCAAGCTGTGCTTCTCCTGCTTGGCATCAGCCAATCTCTTGAGATCTCCCTCCTGGACGGCCGCAGACACCTTCTCCTTATATCCAGGATCCGCGAGGAGCTTCTCCTGCTTCTGGATGTTGGTGGTGGTCTTCTCGAGCTTCTTCTGGGCCTTTGTAATCTCGGCATCCATGTCCACTCGGCCCTTGACGTGCAGGAAGACGGAGGCAGCGGTAGAAACGGGGTAAGCAACGCTGCCCAGAGGTCGAGGAGCGTCGGGGCCGACGACCTCCATGGTCTTGACGCTCTTGCCGCTGAGCGACTTGATTGAAGACACTTCGTTCTTGCAAGTCTTGAGAGCTTCAGGGTTGTACGCCTGGATGATGACTATTTTTGATGTCATGTTAGATAATGGAGCGGGCTGATTTGTTATGGAAATCTACTTACTCTCAGCGTCCTCCTTGATGGCATACTCTGACATGAGCGATCGGGAGGCCTTGGTGCAGTCGAGCACAAGCTCATAGGCGGCCTCTGACGCCGGATCGTCAAGAATGGCATCGTAAGTAGGATACTTGGCAACCATGATGGACTTTGTCTCATCGCTGGGTCTTCGGGGCATTCTCTGCCACATCTCTTCGGTGATGAAAGGCATATAGGGGTGGATCATTGTGAGAGCTCCTTCCAGAGCAGTGTACAAAGTCTGGATGGCCGAGTTGCGCTCCTCCTCAGTGCCGTCGCGGATGATGGCCTTTGAGTTTTCAATGTACACGTCACAAAGCTCGTTGTACCAGTAACGGTAAACAATGATGGAGGACTTTGAGAACTCTCGATCGGCAAGGGCAATGTTGATCTCCTTGGCGGCCTGGTTCATCTTGTGGAGAATCCATCTCTCAGCCAGAGTCTTACCAGGAACAGCTCCAGTTTTTGAGGGAACAAAGTCCTGGGGAAGACTTCCCAAGACGTACTTGGTTGCTTGGAACTAATGCTGATGTTAGCCGCAAGAGAAGGAAATAACAAGGTGTTGGAATTTTCATGACATACAATCTTGTTGCAGAATTTTCGGTAACCGTGGATACTAATGACGGTGTTAGCGTAGTCGAGAGGAATCAACATTGAGATCCGCTTACATCTTGACTTCCAAGTTAATGTCGCCACCACCGGTTGTGGCATTAATCATGGTGAAACGGAGTGCGTCAGCGCCGCACTCCGGAATGCCATCAGGGAAGGCAGTCTTCTGGTACTTGGTCGCCTTCTGGACCTCACTGGGGTGCAGATTACCCTGAAGGAGCTTTGCGTGCAAATCTTCCAGTTTGATACCGGCAATGACATCGAGAGGGTCAACGACATTACCCAGACTCTTGCTCATTTTCCGGCCCTCTGAATCTCTGACGAGACTGTGGCAGTAGACCTCCTTGAAGGGAACCTGTCCTGTTAGCTTCAAGCTGAGCATGATCATTCTGGCAATCCAGAAGAAGAGAATATCCCAGCCAGTCTCGAGAACGCTCGTGGGGAACAGCTTCTCAAAGTCAAGTGTCTTCTCGGGCCAGCCCAAAGTGCTGAATGGCCACAGACCAGATGAGAACCATGCTATAATAGTGTTAGTGTCGACGTTGTAAATAGAGGCCGTATGAACTCACTATCAAGAACATCCTCATCCTGCTCAAGAGTGAAGGTCTTGTCAGGGAAAGCCGCTTGGGCTTTCTTCTCGGCCTCTTCTCTGGTTCTTCCGGTAAACCAGAGCTTGTCCTCGGGGATGCCCTCGGAGCCGCCCTCAATCTTGGCAAAGTATGCAGGGCATCTGTGACCCCACCACAGCTGTCGGCTGATACACCAGTCATTGATGTCCTCCAGCCAGCGGAAGTAGCTCTTCTCGGCGCTCTCGGGCTGAATCTTGATCTTGCCATCTCGAACGGCCTGGAGAGCAGGCGCAGCAAGCTCCTTCATTCTAACCCACCACTGGGGCTTCATAATAGGCTCGATAATGTCCTTGGACTTTTCACACAGAGGAACCTTCATCGGGTTGTCCTTCTTGTCCACATACAGACCCTTCTCCTTCAGAGCATCCTGGATGGAGTATCTGACATCAAAGCGCTTCTGGCCCTTGTATGGCCCAGCATTCTCGTTCATCAGTCCATCGTCAGTGAGAATGTTGATGAATTCCAGCTTGTGCTTCTGGCCAAGTGTGAAATCGTTGGGGTCGTGGGCCGGAGTCAGCTTGACGGCTCCGGTTCCGAATTCCATGTCGACATACTCGTCGGCGATGATGGGCATCTTGCGACCCGGGATGAATGGGTGGACGGCATTCTTGCCAATAAGATGCGTGTATCTCGCGTCCTTGGGGTGAACAGCAATACCAGTATCACCCAGCATGGTTTCAATACGAGTAGTGGCAACCTCGACAGTCTCGTCGCTACCCTCGATAGGATACTTGAAGTGGACAATGACACCGAATTCGACCTTCTTATCATATCCGGGGACATCGAGGAGCGTCCTTCCAGCGAGCTCCTTGTTCTGGACCTCGAGGTTCGAAAGAGCGGTGTTGAGCTTTGTGCACCAGTTGACAAGTCTGTTGGCACGGTAGATGATGCCCTCCTCGTGAAGCTGAACAAAGGTTTCAACGACGGCCTTTGTCAAGTTGGGATCCATGGTGAAGGCTGCATATTGTTAGTCACAAGGAATCAGAACTCCAAACCCTCGTTTGAATTGACGATACGCACCTTCGCGGCTCCAATCAAAAGAGCTACCCAAGCTAGTCAAGGCCTTGTTGATACGCTTGTGGTAATCCTCCTTCCACTCCCAGACGGTCTCAACGAACTTCTCTCGGCCGAGGTCGTGTCTGGTCTGCTGTTTCCGTCTCCAGAGCATGTTCTCGACAACACTCTGGGTAGAGATACCGGCATGGTCGCAGCCGGGAAGCCACAGAGTAGTCTTGCCTTGCATCCTGTTCCATCGGATCATGAGATCCTGAAGCGAGTCGCCCAGGGCGTGTCCCATGTGCAGGTTGCCGGTGACATTGGGAGGCGGGTGGACAATGACGAAGCTACCTTCGTCCTTGACGTTTCCGTCTGCAGTGAACTCGGGCTTGAAAAAGCCCTCCTTCTCCCACCAGCTATACCATGCGGACTCGACGGCAATGGGATTGTATGCCTTGAAGTGAGGGTCGTCGAACGATCGAATGCGCTTCTTCTCTCCGACGGGGGTATCTTCGACGTACTCGGGTAGCGGCTCCTCCTCTACCTTCTCCTTCTTTGCCTTCTTCTCCTTGACAGGAGCGGCGGCAGCGGCAGCAGCCTTTGCCTTCTTCGCTTCGAGTTTGGCGGCCTTCTCAGCCTTCTTGCGCTCCTTCTCCACTGAAAGGATAAGTTAGATGGCAGCTCCTGGGAGATGAGGTTGGACGTGGTAAAACTGGGGTTCCTTACACTCCTTTTCAGACTTTACTTTCGCAGGTCCCTCGGGAGCAGGGACAACGCCGGCATCTTGACCAGAAGCGTGCTCTCCAGGAGCAGCAGATTGGGTCGAGTTGGCAATCTCTTGCTTGACCTCGCCGGAGACCTTGGGAGGCGCGGTGTTGGTTTCCTGGATACCCTCAGTCGCCGCGACTATGAGCCATCCCTATTAGTGACAATCTCCAACAGCCCTGTTCTAACAGTAACGTACTGGGATTTCCTCGTCCAGAGTTGGTCGCCATGATTGCACGTGTGGTGGTAAAAGATCTTGCAGGATAAACTGACCGCACTCGAAGTGCTCGAGCCGCGAATCTGAACGTCGTGCTGGATGTTCTTCGGGGAAGCCCTAAAGTGAATTGGCCTCCTCGTCAATCCTAAGCGTCAAAAGTCCTATGATTGCGCTATCGGGATCCAGAGTCAAAGATTCTTGGTCTGAAATTTGAGTCACTGCCCTTATCAGGTGGGATGTTGAGGGGTGTGGCGGTGCCGCGGGGTTCAGATCGTAATTTGGGTTCCAATTAGCGATCAAGCCACAATGAGCGCCACAGACGCTCTTACATACATGGGCAAACCAACTTGACTAAGGAATTCCATGTAAACCGACGTTCTTCGGCATCATCATCATCTTTCCATGAAAACTTCTTCATTTTGTTTTCTCTTTCATTCAGTAATGACGCATTCACTATAACGAATTACTTGAGCACCTGCCTTTAAATAAGTTCAGCCAGCATAGTCTTCGCGCATGTTTGGCCTGGCCTCTTGTATAAAATGATCACCCGGCTATCCCAGCAAGCTGCGAGAAGCTGGCTTTCACGGAGAGGCCCATCAGCTTTGCGAAAATCCTATTCAAGCTCTTCTGGTAACAGCCAAACCAGATTTACATACGCTCTGAAAGCGGATGAAAAAGTGAAGGGATTTATTTAATCTTTTGGATATCAATTTGTTAATGCTTCTTAGATCAACTATGGAGAGCTCTTCGAGAAACTGAGAGGCAAAAAAATCCTGGAAAATGACGACGGCCACAACGCCGCAGTGCTCCTCGCAACGCCCAGCTTTGCCAAAGACCTAGAAAATTTAAATATCATGGGAGATTTTGCCAGACTGATGGCTGGTTCCGCGGAGGTGGGGAGATTCCATGTGTTAAGCGCAGTGGTCGACCATCTGGCAGCCCCGATAGGCTCGCTGAGGCCTCGCCAGGGAATATCAGTCTTACGAGGCCATTTGGATGAGATGTTGCCGCATCTGTGGCAGCAACATCTTCCAAAGTCCAAAGACGACGCAGATTCAGTGTCCGCTCTCACATTTAGCCTGGGAGATCCCGCGTTGACGTTGCCGCTGGCCAGAACTACATTCCACAACAACAGAGCATCTACACTTTTGTTATCCGAGTTTGACTTGACTCAAAGTCCTGCCCAACTTGCCCGCCAAACGGAAAAGCACACACAATTTGTGAAAGTCTCACTAGACGATGACCTCAAATCATTAGCCCATCTAGACATGTGGACGCCCCTGATGCCGTTGACGCAGCCCCGAACCGTGACTGAGAGTTTCGGTAACATCATTCGAGGAATTGAAGTTGACGGAACCACTATTCCCGCATCTACTGAGCTGGAAGACATCGTAAATGCTCTTCATAAACAGGATGCCCAGTCTGGAGTCTTATCTGGGCCAGTTGGAGTCTGGGCAATGGTCACTCCCAACCCAGAGACGTCAGGCGCATTGGAAGAATGGCTCGAAGAAGCCCCCGAGCCAATTTCGGCCCTACCAGATGTTGAAGACATTAGAGATACTGTGAAAGCCACCGCCCAGCATCTCAAGCTGCTTTATAGTCATGGCGGCCGCCTGTACAAGATTTGTAAGTGTGAAGCTCGTAAAGATAACATGTCTCTTAAGGCAACAAAGAGCTGATTATATGAATTAGTGAGCGGCGGCGGCGGCTGGGGAGCCAAGAAGGGATTATTATCCCTTGACCCTCAACGAACGCATTTTTCCCTGTCAGAAGAGGAAGAGATGCAGAACTTTATACAGTCAATGAACGGCGGTGGCTTCACTCCTGAGGGCTCACAGATCCAGTTCTTCATGTCCGCACTGGCCCTTCCAGACATTACGGAACCCTTTGCTCCTGGCGTTGCGTTTGGCGTTGCTGGAGATGTTGCGATTCCCAGAGAGCCTGAGCCAATTGATGGCTTCATCGGACAGCATTTTGGGGCTCTTTCGAACTCGGCCGTCTATCTCTCTGGCCAGGGCCTGCCCGGCGGTAAAGAAACAAAGCTCAGTGTGCCGCATTCACGGGTATATGGGAGGGAACCCGAGGCGAAGATGGGTGTTTTGGGAAACTTGACCTATGGATTGGCGGATGTCGGAACAATCGTGTTGGCAGGACTGAGGCACTAACAAGGCCATTCTATCTAATAGCTGTATATATCACCTCTCATCACCAACTATATACTAAATCCAAATAATCGCAACTGTCTATTCTGTCTTCTTCTTCTTCATCTCCAGTCCCTCCGCCAACGCCGTTGCAACATCATCCAAGCTGGTCCCTCTCTTTCTCTTCCCAATCTTCTCCTGTCCAAGAACCCCGTCTTCGGCAACCGCCTTGTAAACCCCAGCAATGCCCTCAAACACCGTTCTATCCCAGCCGCCCTCCTCATGGAACGTCTTGGAAATCTCCTCCATCTCCCTCACCCAACGATAGGCCTTTGGAGGCATCCCCGGCACGCCCTTTTCCGCCCTGGTTAGCATTGCCGGCACCATTTGGTTGAGCTCCAACTTCAGCTCATCCACCACGCCAAGCCGATGCGCCGTCGTAAAAGACTGCGTCACCAACGCCGTGAAACCCTTTGTGATGGATGCAAAGCACATCTTGAGACCGCTCGCCGCACCAATATCCTCCGAAATGGATCGCAGCTGCAGCACAGACGCGAGCTTCTCCCCGTCCGGCAACGATGTCAACGAATGGGGCCCCGAAACAGGAATGCTCGGCTGATCCCACACGGCTTCTTCACCCTCTTGGCTGGGCTTCTTAAGGCTCGGGGGCCCGCCCAGGATGCAGGCGTCGATGAACTTGACGGGCACCCTCGCCTTTTCAAAGAGCGCTACGATGCTCTTACACGTCGATGGTGCAACGGCATTCAGATCGACGTAATAAAGCGTCTCTTTTCTCGAACCACCCGACGAGGCGTCCACAATTCGCTGAGCCGTGGCCTCGGCATCGCGAGGCGGGACGACCGAGAAGATGACACTGCACTGCTGGACAAGCTCCAAATCGGACGACAGGAGCTCGACACCTGCATTGCGGGCTCTCTCAATTGTGTCCTCGCTAGAGACGAGCTTTTTAGTTTACAAACTCTATGTAGATTTAGTCCAAGTTCATCAATATTCCTACTCACCTTCGTCCTTGACAGTTTGTAGAGACGGGGAAGCCATGCGCAATTAAGAGCCTGGCAATGCCAGCGCCCATATCACCCAACGACAAGATGCCGACTTTTGTTGGCACACTTGTACTCGCCATTTTGATGGGTGATGTCTATCTGGTAGATTTTTTCTTATGAGAGAGGAGGGGTAGATAAGAACGATGTGCCTACCAGATTGCACTCTATAAGTTGCAGCAATGGCGTATTACAGATCTTAGCTGACGAAATAATAGTGTCCATCAAGTTATATCCGGGCCGCGATATCATTTGGATGCTATGGCGCTTGTCAATGGTGGATCTGCCCCTATCTCTCAGCAATACACCCATCCTTTTTGATACGCCTAAACGCGGCTTCTTGGGTCTACGGACGCTGAAAGTCACAGGCAATGGCGAAGCAACATGCCATAGCTTGACCCGAAAAGTAATACAATTGTAATGGCAACACACCCTGCTTAAATATATATATATGCACCGTCCTCCCATGCTTCAGATGGCATTTTCTGTAAAAACGAGTCCAATACTCCAATACCCTCATAAAACACGTTCCCCTTTACCAAAACATAATGATCCAGGTTACTCAATCATGTCGATGTCATCAGGGTTAGCGGGTGCAGCAGCCTCTCCGCTGGGCGCGGCAGCTTCCGCAGCAGGCTCTGGGGCACCGCCGTGGGCGTTGAAGTAATCCTCCATCTCGGCGTCCAGTTCCTCCTGGGTCTTCTTGAGTCGCGGCGTGTTTGTTCGTGTAGCACGGTCGCTTCCTCCGCTTCCTCCGTTTCCTCTGCCTCCCCGGCCGCCACGAGCAGCATCCTGATCCCTTCCACCACCCTCTCGTCGGGCACCAGGGCGGCGCCCTCCCCCTCCACGGCGGGGCGGCATGGGGCTTCTGGAGCGACTTCCACCCGGAACATATCGATCAATGCCCCTGCGAGCGGCATCTTCTTCATCGTACCGCCGAGGGGAGAGTGATCGAGATCTGCCACCAGGAGCAGAAATGCGTTCGGACAAAGGCTTGCCTGGCATCACAGCAGTATCAAACGGGTTTCGAGAAGGCCCGCTTGACATGACGCTCAAACGGATTGGCTGGCCTATAAGGTAGTCTTGTCAGTTACAAACATCTAGGCAGCGAGCTCATTTAGAGAGATGTACCGTTCGCGTTGGCACCATCGAATTGTCTCACAGCCTCCGCGGCATCGTCCTTGCTTTCATACGTTACGAAAGCTACGCCTTCGGACCGCCCAGACCGATCATAACGCAGTTGCAGCTTTGTAATCGGGCCAATTCTTCGGAAAAGTTCCTGTCGTCATGTCAGCCGCGGCTTCAGGGCATCCTTCATCCCCAAATTGACATACATCGAGATCTTCCTCGGTGAGATCGTAGTGGATATTTTCAACTCGGAGTCGTGCGCCGCGGGCCTCTCCCCTATGAAAGAGAGTCAGTAAAGGGGAGAGACTTTGAAGCATGGCTTCTCTGGTTTATGAGTAGGCTTACCCGCTGGGAGATTCGCGCCTGCGACGCGGTGCAGGGCCTCTGTTGCGATACGCTGGAAATCATGAGTTGGGTTCAACGGAGAGGAATTGATTCATAGAGGCAGGATGTGACTATACTGTTTTCTTCGTATCGATCGTGTACCCATTCGCTGCACCAATGCCATCAGTATGTATCTAGTTGTTTGTATATATGGTTTCTCAAGACCAACCTATCCAAATTTCGAGGCTCGTTGCGGAGAGACTGCGCGGTCGACCAAAGAGCTGGTTAGCGAGGAAATCACAGCGTAAGACCCAGTCACGGATCGGCAAAAAAACTCCGAAAATCGATTGACCGAAGGAGTGCGCAGAGCAATTGACGAAGTCGAGTGCCAGACGATTCAGAGGGAGGAGAGGAAGGGCTCAGTTTCAACCTTTGACCGAGTGGCAAGTCAGCCTCGCGTGCCAGCTGGAAGCCTGCAAAGGGGAACGACGACACGTACCTTTTTCACCCCGTCACGGGGATAGTCTTGACGGTCTTGACGGTCACGACGGCGGTCGCCACCGCGTCGGGTTCGAGATCCATTGCTGCGCTGATGGACGAGTTAGCCATGGTCTTGCGACTTCGGGGGAGGACGAGGCTGGCGGTATAGAGATGGGATGCGTGCACCAACCTTGTCCGCAATGATTTCGTCGAGGCCGCGGTCCATCTTATCAGAAGCCATTGCGAAGATGGAGATAGGAGATGCTGCAGATAGATGTACACTCGCGCGGGTCTGGCCTAGGGACTCGACGGTAGAGGATGCTTGGAAGAAGAGAAATGTTTTGAGTCGTGACAACTGAAGGCGGAATTGTCCTGCTAGAAATGCAGCGACGACTACTACTACTAGCGATGGAAGCCGGGAGCGGTACCACTCAGGCACATGCGTAAGAACAGGGGGGTTTCGGGGTGCCCAGTGCACTTGGTCTATCGCTACAGGTATGACTACAGGCGATGTGGGATTGATGGATCTTTTTTTGGCTCCCATCTGCTTTTGTCAGGCACACACCGCATTGACCATTTCCGACATTGAAGCGATTTACTCTACTCTTGGGGATAATTTTCAGATTGATCTAGAGCACTGAGAGAGTTGCATTGATCTCTGGCGGTACGCACTACCTTGAGTACATTGCCAGAACTGCCCGTAGCATGCGCTGGTGCTATCAATCCCATTGATCCATATGTCGAAATTTTATACTGCGATAGGCCTAGCCTGACATAATCGGAGACCCCTGATTTAGAGGCAATTGCTCGTATTTTTGACTCTGTCCTCTTCCCAGACCAGAGTACCACTTGGTACTAGCGAGGGCGTACAGTACCAGAGCACGAGCAGTTTGCTCTGCCTTCTTTCGCAACTCCTGCACAGACGACCAATATTCAACGTCCATGCCCTGACGCTCGTTTCTGCTGGACGCATCAGTGTCTTCTTCTTCTTCTTCTTCTTCTTCTTCTTCTTCGTCTCATCTAGCCCTCCTGTACAAGCGCCGCGCTGCTCTCCGGTCGAATTGATCGCGATAACGAAACGAAACCAAGCCTCTACACCATCACCACCGCCCACGAAAAATCAGGCTCCATGGCTCGTCCCATGGGGTCGGTCCGCCTCAAGAAGGCCAATTCCTCGACGTTGATCCTGGGAGCGGTGCTTTGCATCTTCATCATCATCTTCCTCGTCTCGCCCTCGAGCCCCGCCTCCACCGGCCGCCTGTCCACCATCGTCTCGGCCCAGCATCACCTATCGCCCCCTACCTCGCCGTACCAGAGCCCGCGGTCCGGTGCTGTCCAGGGCCCTCCGCCGGTTACGCGATACAATCTCAACAAGGTCACCGTCACGTCCGACCCCATTCGGAACCAGGAACACATCCTGATCCTGACGCCCATGGCCAGGTTCTACCAGCAGTATTGGGACAATCTCTTGCACCTCAGCTACCCCCATGAGCTGATCACTCTGGGCTTCATCCTGCCCAAGACCAAGGAGGGAAACCAGGCGACGTCTCTTCTGCAACAGCAGATCCAAAAGACGCAGCATGGCCCCGAGAAGGACCGCTTCAAAAGCATCATCATCTTGCGCCAAGACTTTGACCCTGCCGTGGCGTCCCAGGACGAAAGCGAGCGCCACAAGCTGGGCAACCAAAAGGCCCGCCGTGAGGTCATGGCCAAGGCACGCAACTCACTACTCTTCACGACACTGGGCCCGTCCACCTCATGGGTGCTGTGGCTCGACGCCGACATTGTCGAGACTGCGCCCACGCTGATCCAAGATCTTGCGGCCTTCGACAAGCCCATCATCGTTGCCAACTGCTTCCAGAAATACTACGACCCTGAGACCAAGAAAATGGCTGAGCGGCCGTACGACTTCAACAGCTGGCAGGACAGCGAGAATGCGCTCAAGATGGCGGAGCAGATGGGCCCGGATGACATCCTGCTCGAGGGCTACGCTGAGCTCGCAACATACAGAACTCTTCTTGCGTACATGAGCACTCCCGGTGGCAAACCGGACCTGGTGGTACCCCTCGATGGAGTTGGCGGCACCGCGTTGCTGGTCAAGGCTGACGTGCACCGTGATGGAGCCATGTTCCCTGCTTTTTCCTTCTACCACCTGATTGAGAGCGAGGGTTTCGCCAAGATGGCCAAGCGATTAGGGTGGCAGCCGTATGGGCTTCCCAACTACAAAGTAAGTCATCAAACTCTTTGTTCCAAGTTTCAAGCATATCTTATCTAACATTAATGTTCCTAGGTCTACCATTATAATGAGTAAATCAGCATTTACATTCGAATATTTTTCTCATTTGACAGTTCCCTCGTATCGCTTTATTTTAATAAGGTTACGGCTGTTGGGCTGAGCGTCGATGGCATTGGAGACGGGCTCGTAAGAAGAGGTGTAAGGGATCAAATGCCCACGTTGCATGATGCATTCTTCCCTCCTTACGACTCTTTGGAATCGATTTCTTCATAACACAAATGTTGGTCGGGGTGTCTTGGGTAGGAAGTCAGGGCAGGGTCAGGCACGGCGCGGCACGGCGCGGCACGGCGCGGGCGTTTTCTCGTTGAAAGCATCTAACCTCTTAACCTCTGGCATGTTGAGATTTATATAGAAAAACCTCCCTTCCCCCTTTCTTTTATATATCCTTTTCAGTCACTACTGTCGGATCGCAGGCATCAGCAGGGAGGAGGGGAAACAGACAAACCCAAAAGAGGGGGGAGGAGGAGGAGGCCATTTTTTCAGTCTTTTTTTCCAGTCACACACTTGCCTGGTTTCTTGTCATGGTCGATGGTCTGGAACCGCTGGTTCTGTTGAAAAAAAAGGGGAGAGGAGGTAATCAACGTTGTTTCTCAGGGGATGCTCGATGCGCTACTTTATCATATTGTCTTTTTAGTTTATGTTACTCGGGAAGGGGGCGGGCGGCAGTACAGTAGAGCCATGTTTTTACGCGAGTTGGAATAGAATCAATCAATGAATGCAATGCGCAAACGATGATCTTTTTTTTCTTCAGCATTTTTGCATTATTCATGAAGCTCGATCCACAGTCAAATCCCTTTGTAACCTCCGTACTGGAAGCAATTCGTCCAGCCCATCCATAGATATCCAAATCATTCAACATACCCATGTCTTCTAACAATTACAACGTTCGTACATATAACCCATCAAATATCCGAATCCAGAAAAAAAAAAACCAAGTCCTCTCATACCCCTTTTACGGCCCATCATATCTCCCCTCTGGCTCCGAGCACCAATATTGCACCAGCTTCCGCGTCCCCAACACATCGCCTCCTCTTAGCAGCGCCGCGACGTCGACGTTGAGCGGGCTGTCCGTCTCGGGATAGCCCAGCAGCATGCGCACGGCGCGCACGCACTGCAGCACGCTGTACGTCGGCGTCCACTTGTCCTTGAGCAGGTCGAGGCAGATCTCGCCCGACTGCAGCGCAATGTTGGGGTGCACAATGGTTGTCACGAAGCGCATCTTGGGCGGCTGCAGGGGATACTGCGCGGGGATTTGGATGTGAATGAGCCAGCGGCCCTCTATTCCAATCAAAAAGAATTAGCAAAAAAATAGGAGGAAAACAAAAAGGAAATAACGAGGAAGAAGGACACCGAAAGACGCACCATCGTAGCCCGATCCAATCTCCCTCCCGTTGATGACGGCCTCCCACTCGAATAAATCATCCTCATTGATCGGGCCCAGCCTCTCCACGCCCTTCTCCTCCTTGCGCTCCTTGCGCCAGCTCTCAAGCTCCTTGATGAGTCGTTTCGCTCCGCTTCTTGCGCTCATTGTAAAGATTGCGTCGCTGTGCTTTGTCGCTACGTTTGGGTGGTGTGAGGATAGACAAAAGGGGGTATCGCGTAGTGCTGGACGAGTATCGCTTCGCTGTAGATGCACAAGAAAAATGGACGCGAAAGAGAAACGCTCCTTATTGTAAAATATTATTAGGTATTACGGATATGGAAATGGAAACAATAACAAATAACAAGCTGCGAGGCTGGAGCTGGAGCTGATGGCAGGGATACGATGTCACCCGCAGCCGCGGTACCACGTTAGTCATCAAGCCGAGGGTGGGTATGGCGGCAAATCTCCCGTTTCAGCTGCTTTTAGAATAGAGGCCGTTCGTTGTTTACTCTGTGCTTTATTCGGATTACATGAAATGGTACTGCGATTCTAGCATGAGGTAGAGCCAGTATTTGATTGTTCCGCAGTGGAAACAAAAAAAAGATGAATCAATGGACGAATGGGTGGCATGGGAATTGCTTGTCATCTTCATGTCCCGGCAACACTCGTACGTCTGGCAATGGGTATCCTGGCACAAGTATATATTCATCATAATAATGCGAGCCTATTAAATCAAACTTTTCGCAGGCGGAAACAACTAGACCGAATCAACGCGCCTCGCCCTCTCTCCTCTTCCTTCGCACTCCCGTCGAAGTCCCTGATCCCGTAGTCGTCCTGCTCGATGTCGTCTTCCTGGTTGGCGCCGGCTCAATCCTCTTTCTCGTTGTTGAACGCGTGCGAGACGAGGCTGTTTCACGCGCGGGAGGAGACTCGGGTTCTACCTCGACCACTATATCTTCTCTACCCTTGGCAGCTTGACCCGGGCTCTCGTCCGCCAGAGCTAGCTCTTCGCTGGTCTCCTCGGAACTTTGCCGCCTTGACGATCCTTGCTGGCTCCAGCCAGAGGTCGACCCGGGTCTGCCACGGCGTGACATGGAACTCAGGTCTGACTGACCAGAGCCATGGCGCTTGGGAGCATGTGAAGCACGAGGTCCAGCTGTTTGATACAGGAAGGGGTCTTTGGATGTGTCCTCATGGATGCTGGATGGTCGAGATGTAGAAAGGCCAGACTTTGGCCGAGGACGCGAGCTGGAGGGAGGAGGAAAGTAGCCCATCTGAGGAGAGGCCTCGTCCTCTTCAAGTGCGTCGCTCCCGGAAGGCTGTCTTGACAGGGAGCCGGAGCCGGAAGCTTGGCGTGGAACTGACAGTCGAGACATTGACTCGAACTGAGCAAGCGGTATAGCCACACGCTCCTGACGCCGCCTGCGGTTTCTTCGCTCCTCCTCCTCCATGCGCCGCTGTCTCCGCTCGAGGGCCGCAACCTCTTCCTTGCTCAGTCGTACGTCAGTCCGGCCCTTGGCTTGGGCCTTTTCGATCCGATAGAGCGCCTTCTGCACCAAAGCCTCCTCCTTGTCATCCTCGTCTTGCTCGCCATCATCCGAGTAGTCCTCGTCGTAGCTGTCACCAGATGAACTACCCTCTTCGTCTTCCGTGTCATACCGCCGGTGCTTGCGGCGTACCATGCCATTTTCTCTATTCCCTTCCATACCATCATCGTCCGACACCAACTCTTCAACCCTGCCTCCGTATTGCGCAGCATCCCCACTTGTTTCCCTCCGCCCGCGCCGCGATGGTCTTCCCCATTGGGGCGCAAATTTGGGAGCTCGCGGCCGACCATTTAGACCGCCTCCCCGGAAAAAGCCTCATCGATAGGCTTGTCCATGAAACTTGCGTGACCCTAGATCCAATTAGCATGTCGGAGTCGCCAAATAAGGTTCTCGTATTGCTACTTACAAGAATACTTGCGCCGCTAGCTCCGATGAGCCACAGCAAGGTTGAGAAAGGAGAAGCAATGAGACCAATGGGAATGCTGACAACCAACAATCCAGTCCAAAGCTGGGAAGTAGTCGCCTTGAAGGTTCCAATCTCGAGGTCTCGGCCGTCGAGCTTGCTGATCAAAAACATGCCTCCAATCACAAAGATGATGTCGAAGAGCAGAAGCCAGTTGGTCAGCAGAGCGTAAATGCTGAGCATGAGGAAGAGGACGGCATAGTTGCTCGAGAAGTGGCCCAGGTTGTAGTTGACGCGGGACTGGACCTCAGCAAAGTTGGCCGGCTTGGACAGGCGCTTGAAGTCGAAGAACTCGGAGATTGGGCGCAGATTGGAGAAGCGGCCGCTCAGAGGTCCCGCGCGGAGGCCCTGGAAGCGCTCTCCAAGATTGAGGCGGGACGTGATGAGATCGAGGGGGATCTGGATGCGAGACATGTTGGATGGATGTTTGTTGTTCTTGTCCTTGTCTAGACACCGAACTTGTCTGTATATATAATCTGCGCGTGCGCGGGTGCGAGGAGCGATCAGGCAACAGCAGCTGTTGATGCCACGGTAATCCGATATTTGATGATGCAAGGAGCTTGGCTATGCGGCTAGAGAAAAGAGGACCCCAGTTAGCGAACGGCACTTGGTAATATCGCAAGGCTTGCGTGGCCGGGTACCGAATCCAAAAGACGGTTGCGTCAAGGCGGTGATGCCGCTATCAATTGGATTGGAGAAGAGAAGATTACCGTGCCAAAGAAGAGCAGTAACAATACGTACCAGAGCTGAAAGGCGCAGGTCCCTTGAAGCTGGTTGAGAACGCGGCTGGTGTCTGTTTTCCTTTTGGTTTAAAAGGAGTAAAAAATGTAGATCTCTAATTTTTTTTTAGAGTTCGGAGGTTCCTGAATGCCAGGGGGTGCGAATACGTGGCAAGTGGAAGCCAGAGATACGAGTGCTAGTACGTACTGCCTCAGCCACCCAAAATGTCTGTTTTGGGGCAAAGCCGGGCTATTCTAGGAATCACATGTGAGTTAGAGAGCCGCACTCTGAAGGAGCCATTGAAGTCAAGACAGAAGAGAAGAAGAAGAAGATGTTCAAGGGAATTCCATTGCATCCGAATTCAATTTTTTTTAGGAGTTTCAAGCTTCGTTTTTTTTTTTTTCGAATCATAGACGAGCAAGACGCGAAATTCAGTCATTACAGCACAAAGTAGCATGTACGTACCTCGAATGTCCCCGCAACCCCTCCTCAGGAAGCGCAGACCGCCACCTGATGGATTCGTCGTCTTCTATTTTCCTCCTCAGGATGAGAAAGGAAAGACGAAGAAGAGGAATGGGGAAGAAAGAAAGGAAGAAGAGAAAAGAAGAGGAAGAGAGAAAGGGAAGAGAAGAAAAAGAGGAGGGGAGAAGCGACGTGACAGGATGGATCCGTGGGCAATCGGGCAGCTACAGGCTACAGGCCGGACTCTTCCCAGCAAATGTTACATGTACTGCACTGCTACACTCTTATCCACCCCGGTGCAGCAACAGGTCACCGCTCTCTGGCTCCCGGTCAGCGAATGGGGTTGCAGACCAGCTGTCTCGCAGAAGCGACTAAAAAGCAGGCCATGTCTTATGTTGTTTAGCACTTGAACCTGTAAGATGGTGTTGCAATCGCAACATATCCGGGGGCCAACCTCCCCGTAGTGTTCTGGTAGTAAGATCTCGGGTACCACTAAGATATTTCTAGCGTCTCTAGTTCTTGATCCGACTTCTGCGACAATGCGGTGAACACCGGTTACCTCGTATGCTAAACTAGTAGTAGATCTTGATGAGTTTTTCTTTCTAGATGATTCTTCTATCCCCGAGTATCCGAACATCGAGGTTGAGACGCAACGCCCCATCACGCATGTCTGATGCGAACGTGCCCACATGCCATGAATGCAATGGTGGGAGCATGAACCCAGCTTGGGCACCCATTAAAGCATGAGTACCTAATGAAGAGCATGCAATCCTCATTTGTCTGCTGCACTCTTAGATTGCAGTAGCAATGCTTTTTGATCGGATACTGTCTCAGAGAGCTTACTTACCTACTACTAAGGTATGAAGCTGTTGCATTCTCTGCACGGACCTTTTCGTCCATGCACGCATCATCCCTCTCGTGGCCCAGCAGAAGGAGCGATTCGACCCAGCAGATAACTGTGACGTCTTCCTCCCTTCCGCCATACGCTCTCGTAGATTTGTACCTATGTCTGCTATGTGTAGTACCTTAGTAGTAGAGACTTCCCAACAGCTTCAATCACACCCTAGAGGAAGATCATCGACTAGCCCTCCAGGTACCCAGTACGAACTTGAGCAAGTACTAAGTCATCCTCATCACGTAGCATTCGCATAAAGTCGCCGAAACCAAGCAAGAATACACTCCCTGTCACCCCAACTCCATCCTCCACACCCAAACTGACACACAGACCTCTTTTCTCAGATATCAGGGTACAGGAACCAGATGCATGATTGGGACCGTACCGTGACGGCCATCATGAGGATCTACCCAGAGACGCACCGCCGCAGTCTGTACTATACATTACGATCTCTTCGTAACACTCTTGCTTTCTCGAAGCCCATACAAGCATCAAGTATTTCGGCTAGTATTATACACTGCGTAAGGTATTATTCATAGATACACAAAGTAGAAAAAAATAAGGCATGGACCCAACGCACAACCAGTTGATGCTCTCACTATGCCAGACCTGCCGTTCAAAGATGGGGTATATCGCAAACAAAGAGGAAACAAAAAGCGACTGAGATGAACAAAGAAGAAAAGAACATCGTAAAAAAAAAAAGAAGAGAGTCGAGCAAATTAGACCTCATAGAAGTAGTCCTCATCGAGCCCCTCTCGGCTCGGCACGATCCCACCTCCAACAGGTGCTTCATCCATCCTCACGTTGAGTAGCCGAATCTTCAGTCCGTATCCGCCCACCAGATTGACCAGTTTGCTCGTCTCGGCTGTGATCGGAGCCTGGTTCAGTATCATCAACATGCCGTCGAGCCACTCCGAGGCCACGCTATGGCTGGTGGGCCAGAGAGCCAAGATTGGGTGTTCCTTTGCATCCGCATTGCCAGTCACAGCATCGGCGGGGTTTACGAAGCTGTAGATGGTAATTTTGGTCGTCGACTTCTCTCCACCGCTGGTGATATTCTGGATCGTCGCCCCGCTAGCCGTCGTCTTGGAGTCGTCGGTAGACGCAGAGACATTGGACACGACAGAGCTTATAGTGGTGAGATCAATCTTCTCCTGCAGACTATTCAGGCCAGGATCTTGCGCCATCTGCTTCTCGAAATCGGTGTAGTGCAAATATCGGCGGTTATGGGACAGCTTGGCGAACCTCCACGGCTTCTTCTCTCCCGTCTCATCCCTCTGTGAAGCAGGCCGATGGAACCAAGCACCCTGGAGCAGGCACCGAACCCTCTGCTCCTTGACAAACTGCAGGGCCTCCTGTTTCAAGACATCTCGCACTTGGTAGAGATGCTTGCCCCACGTTTCCTCAAATGACATCTCAAGCAGCTCCATTTGGAGCTCTCGGAGTCTAGCAATGTCGTATTCTTGTAACTCGTCCTCCACTTCTATGACATCGCTCGTCCGGGGAGATTGGCCAGCAACCCGCTCGATCAGGATACGCACCAGCTCTGCCACCTTTTCAAAGTCTTCCTGTACGGCACCAGTAGCTTTCCAGACACGAAAGAAGGCATGCAGCCCAGCAATGTGCAGTCGGGGCCACTGCAACAGTAGTGGTCGAAACACCCTGTCATAGTCCTTGGTATCGACTCCCTGGTACCCCTTCATGTCCTCCATATCAGCCTTATCCACATCAAAATGCTCGTAGAGCATCATCGTCACGGCTAAGCTCGCACGGGCAATTGGACAGCGCTCATGTAATGGCTTGGTGGCCTGTTCCAACAGCAGCTTTTGGAACCGGTCCTCGTTCTTGCGCACGTAGTCGGTCAGGTCCATCATGCCGAGATATCCGGTCACGTCAAAGTCTTGGGCAGGGCTTTCCGTCTCGAAACCCAATCTCCTCCATTTCTCCGGGTTGTGCTTCCTGCCGTCTTTCTTGGTCGTCGTCGTGTCTCCTGATCCCTCTCTGAAATGGCCATTTGTTGTAGATCGGTCCGGTGCACTCGACAGATGAAGACTCTTGAGCGACCGCCTGTGCTCTGGTCGTTCCAGGTCCACCTTGACATCCCTCCACTTTCTGAAGACAACTTTGTTCAAGTTCTGGAATTCCAATGCAGGGTGGGCGAGATCTTGAAGACCGGACCCTTGCATTAGCTTGTAAACCGCCTTGATCAAGCCCAGGTCTTGCAGCCGTTTCATGAGCTTGGGCCACTCTTCGCCGGCCCCCTTTCCATTCCCGCTCGCCATGACGCTCTTAGTCGACAAGGCATCTCGAATCAGGGCGTTGACCAGCATGAGAGCGTTCGCACACAGGGCATGGTCGGCACTATTGAGCTGCTGCACAACGACGTCGAAGAACTGCGGGTACACGGCCACGGCCGGCTTCAGCGCCCGAAACCCAAAGGCTCCGTGATCTTGAGTCGGCGACTCGGGGCTGTTGGACTGAGAGTGTCCGACCAGGGCAACCAGAATCGACATTGCGCCCCTAAGGATGTTAACCAGGGGATTCGTCACAATCAGTTCCACAATGCGCTCCACCAGCTCGCTCGCGGTCGGCCCTTCGAAAATGTCCCAGCCCATGTCGACCTCGAGCAGCCTCGTCAGGCTCTGGAGCGAGTAGGCAAGAGTGTTGCCGCCGGAGCCCATGATGAGGCGCCGCAGGATGACGAGGCCGCCAGAGGAGATGAAGACGTCGGCGAAGGCGGGATCGTTGATGGACGACTGGAGCTTGAAGACGGCCATCTTACGGGCCGCATCTTCGGGACTCGCCAGGCGAGAGAGCAGCGCGGGGATGTCTGCTTGATCCATGGTGACGGTTTCGTGAGGATATCGGAGAGAAGAGGAGAAGAGACAAGGTTAGATTCACCAAACGCACGTGTCTTGGTGATGGTGCGTTGATGATAGAGTCATTGCTTTGTTTGGCGAGGATCAAACGATTGGGACAGCGTTTCGTGTACGGCGATTTCGCATGGTGAAGAGTCGAGTCTCCAGCGTCAGGGGATGTGATTAAAGGCATGGCTCAATGGAGTATAGCACCGTGATAGCTCTCTGCAGGTCCCCCAGGTTAGTGCCAATTTCAGGCAGGCGCGTCGGGGCGCGTTTCTGCAGCCCTTCCAAAAGAGTCTCGAACAGAAAAACCAGGGCCACACTCTGCCATGCTCCATATGTTCTCTACAGAATTCATTAGGTTAGATGTCAATGTGAGCTATAGCCAGTTTGAAGTACTGAATCCGAGATTGAATTATACTGCATTAGGTACAACGCCGTTTAGGGGCCTCTCACTGGAGTGTAAGGACTGGACTCCGCTTTTACCGATACCTAACTAGTATGCCTTCACCTGCGTAGCATCCAAGTGTGTAAACCACATCACCTTTTATTAACGCCTCGTGGAGGCTGAATTGCCTGCCTCAGTCTTCTCAGTTACTCTACATGCAAGTATGCGAAACATTTCCTTCACTCATCAGCACCATCATCACCATCCTCCTCATACTCAGGCTCACGGCTCGACCCTTGTCCTTCCGGGTCCGCCCTGAAGCTGTGATCAGGATCATGTGTGGTCTTCGCTGACCAGTAACACTTGAAGCACAAGTTAAAATCGACGCAATTCTCACACTTCCACCGCACCCCAGTTATAGGCTACAACATGTGTTAGTACAACTCTGTTACTCGGTGTATCTGACTTACTGCGAAAAGGCAGCCATCGCAGACTATACCCCAGTGCTTGTGTCCGATCTTCCAGCGTGAGGGGCGGGACTTGGTTTTCCCCTCTGGGTCTGAACCCCTCTCGGGACTCTCGGTGTTCAATTGCCTTTGTCGGATGAAGGTAGCAATGTTGCTCACGTCATGGAAAATGGCAATATTCTCAGGAGTCCAGTTATCGTTGGTGGCCTCGGCAAGATCCGCCCCAAACAGCAACCCGAAAGCCCTCACAATATCAAGGTTGCCCTTGTGGCGGCAAGCCCAGTGCAGGGGCGTCCAGCCATCATTGTCCTTGATCATTCCGCCGCGCCAGTCCATAGTACTTTGCCGACCTGTTTGTTCGTCCTGGAAGACATACAGAAAGGGCCTTAGCTTCCGACTCATGGCTGCGTAATGCAACAAGGTACGACCTTGGTTGTCTACTGGGCTAACATCTATCGGGTCAGCGCTGAGTAGCTGCTTGAGGGTATCCCACGACCCTCGAAGAGCGGCTATGTGGAAGGCCGAGCGCCCCTGGCGATCCCTGGCACTGACTTTGACGCCTGCATTGAGGAGTGGTGTGACGAGGTCATCACTTGAAGGATGGTAGTACAACACCGCGCAGAGAGTGTTGGCGAAGCCACCAGCGGGGAGGTTTGGGTCAGCCTTGTCTTCTTTCAAGTCGAGAAGAAACCGAGCAATATGAAAGTGGCGATTGATGGCCGCGGCGCTGAGCGCAGTGTTGTATTGGCCGCCTTGAGCGTTCACTTGTGCCCCTAATTCGATCAGCTCCTCAATCACCTCCATTTTGCCGTATTTGGCTGCATTGTACAGCGCCGTAGGATGAATACCGCCTCCAGAGTTGGCGTCTGCGTGATTCGGCAACTTGACATCCAGTAGGGCGCGAATCATCTCCAAGCCGATGTCAGTCGGTCCTTCTACCGCCGCAAGCAATGCCGTGAGCCCTTCCTCATCTCGATGCTCGGTGTCAACTCCGAGCTTCAGAAGCCGACAGACAATATTCGTCTGGTCCGTTTTGATGGCCACTATCAGTGGAGTTTCTTCCTTTCCGGTCATTACGGCACACAAATCGCCCAAGAGGGCATGGTCGTTCGAATAAAAGTCGTCCAAAAGCATTTCAGCGAATGCCTCCTCACAATTGAGAATAGCGTAGTGAATCGCCGAGAGGTTGGCCTCGTCTTTGAGCGACAGGATTTCTCTGTGCTTCTGTAATAGTTGTCTCCCGACGCCAATATGGCCACTCTCTGCAGCAAAATGCAAGGCATTTCTCCCGCCCCGGATAGCAAGTTCTGCATTACATCCGAAGCGAAGAAGCACTTTGACAGTCTCGTCCAATCCCAAGGTGGCTGCCACCATAAGGGGAGTGCGACCGCTGCCATTTCGAATATTCCCATCAGCCTTGTGATTCAAGAGGCATTCAACACACTCCGCAGACTCGATGCCCAAATGCAAAACAGAGCGTCCATCGCGAGTCTTGGCTTGTACGGTCTCTGGGTTGAGTTTTAGAAGTAGCTCTAGCAGTGCAATGTTGCCCGCCTCGGACGCGAGATGGATCGCTAGACAGCCATTGTTATCAGATGCCAGCGGGTTTGTTCCGGCCTCGATCAAGAGTTCGGCGATCTCGGTCGATGTTTGTACACCGGTTGCCGTGTAGTGGAGGGCATTCCGCTTCCATTGACCTATGGCCTTGGGGTTGACTTTATGGCTATTTAAGAGGGCTTTGACCAGCTCAATCTTGCCTAGTTGGGCGGCCCAGTGAAGAGCAGCGTGCGGACATTCTTCACTGGTAGAGTTGGGGTCTATATTTGTATCTTCCAGCAATGCACGTATCACTTCGGCGTGCCTGGTTGAGTCTTCGGCGTCTCTGATCAATTGAGACAGGTCTAATGGCATTTTTGCATCAGCTTCAGCGCCATTGCTTAGGAGAAGTCTGACGATATCTGCCTTTCCGTTTTGTGCTGCAAGCGCCAGGGGCGTTTGCCCATTCTGATATGCTGCATTCTTTTCTGCTCCCAGAGAGAGCAGGAGTTCAGCAATCCGTACATGTCCGTTTTCAGCGGCATAGTGAAGGGCTTTCTTCCCCTCCTCTCTCTCTTGATCATGGTATTCCATCAAAGAGGCCTTGTTCTCCTGGGTGGTGGTAGGCCCCAAGCAATGGCGTATGACCCTTTCGAACCCCAACTCCGTCGCTCGGAGAAATACGCTGCCAATGTCTTTAAATTTGTCGACCGAGTCAGCATGTTCGAGTATTGCCATGACCAAATCCTCATCTTGTGGGCGGATGGCGTGATAAGCCACGGTTTTGTCATCGTGATCGTGCAGTGTCACATTTGCATTCGCATCTAGCAAGATCTTTGCAATCTCACCATGGCCGTTGATGCATGCTATCATCAGTGGTGAGTTTCCTGATGAGCTCTGACGGTTCAAGAGGGAGTGTCTCTGTATTTCATCGGCAATTAAGCGTCGAACAATTGCTTGGTGTCCATACTCGGCGGCGAGGTACAATGGTGTCCGCTCTCCCTCGTCTCTAGTGACACATGTTATATCAGCTCCCGCAGTCAGTAGGTGTTGTACCGTGAGCTCGTGACCCCTCCTAGCAGCGAGGAGGAGAGGGCTGTCCAGGTCAATTCCTGCCTTCGAGTTCACATCTATGCCCTCATACTGAAGGAGAAGATGGACAAGTGGCGTATGGCCATTGCAAACTGCCAGCTGTAGTGGCGTGATGTTGTCAAGAGCCGTGTTTATATTGGCGCCAAGACCGATCCATGAGACAGCTTGGTTGTCGTAACCAAGTGATGCCGCACAACACAGCAGCTGGTCAAGCAGGGCAGCCAGCCTCTGGGGCACTTTTTCTTTCATGTATGCCACGATGAAGTCGACAATATCATCATGACCGCGTGCTGATGCATACTTTAGAGCTTCTCCAACTTCGGTTGGTTCCTCAGAGACGGCGCATTCGCCAACCAGAAGTTCCGTTACGGTATCTAAGTGCCCAGCCCAACTAGCCAAGCTGACGGCGACGCTGAGATCACCATGTTTGATGTCTTTACCGTTTGATTTGATGATCCGAGTAAGTCCTAATTGGGAAGCAAGTAGCAACGGGTCTACCGTGCTAATATATGGGGGAGAATGAATACTGTTTAGCTTGGAATTCAGTTTTGACCACATGACAAGTTGGTGGTCCTGGGCTGGCTCCAATCTCTCATTGCTGTTCATGTAGGCCCTATAATGGATGGGTAAAAATTGGATGGCATAAGCCATTAGATGAAATAACTCTCCTTGAGGTTGTATGAACTTCTCTAGCCGGAGCGCCTCCTCCACGGGAGTGGTGAATTTTGTCCAAGAGAGGTATCTTAGTAGAATAGCTGTGATTTCTGTGTCTCCCGGTATTATAGGCCTCGGCAGGTTTTGAGTAGAAGACTTGGGCTTTCGGTCCTCTTCAATCAATTCGACAAACTGGTCTCTCACGGCCGTGTCGCTGAAGATTATCCCTCCCCCTTCGAACCTCACCAAGGGTCCAAACAGGAACTGTAAATCAGAGCCAAAATCTATATGCAGACCATCAGTATCGAAGGTGGATGAAAACTCGGCCCTCTCATTTGTGAGAGTTACTGCGGTTGCGAGCTCATTCAGCCTCAGCGGCCGCCTAGAGTATACAATCCAGCCTAACGCAGCTTTTCCCCAGTTTGGAAGGCTGTTGAAGGTGTAGAAGACGGCTTCCCTTACGGGCGTCTGAGGGCTGCTCATAATCGACTTCATGACTTTGGGTGTACGAGGGTTCGATTTCGGATCGTTGACAGACAGGGCTTGAATCATGAGGAGCGTTTCCGTGGTGTGCTTGCATTTTTCTAGGGCTGCAATGAGGCTCTGCTTGAGTTGAAAGAGATGTGGCCACTTGCTGATTATCTGATTCGCCAGAATAGCTGCCAACGGTTTGAGCATGTCCACCGTAAGGACAGGTCCACGCATGCGAATATGGTCCAACTTCTGTAGCGCTTCCTCTATGAAGTGGCTCTTGTCTCGCTGCGTGTTATAGAATAGGGCTCCTTTAAGCTTTGTAAGTGAGCTTCTGTTGCTCACAGCTTCCGCTAACGCCTCGATAAGTTTTGAAGCTGCATCGCATCTCTGGAGGTCGTCCACAATTAGGTACAGAGGATTCAAGCCGTTTTCGGTATCCAAAATAGAATAGAACAGCACAAGAAGGCCAGCTTCCGTCCAGGCATCTGAGAGGTGCATAGTCTTGAGGAGATCTTCAACCCTAGAGTATCTTTCCGGATTTTGATTCAAGACCTGGGAGATGACTGACCCCAAGAAGGTGACAAAAGAGCACCGACTTGCATCAGTTTCTGTGAAAGAAAAATACGCAACCAAAGTCGAAGATTTTTTCAATCTCCAGAAGAGAGTTCGTGCGTTAAGACTCTTTCCAACCCCCGGGGGCCCACCTGTCGTAATAATACCTGGTAAGGGCGTTTCGCACCAAGCATCATAGGTATTTTGCACCTCCACACCGGGATTCGATATAAATAGATCGCATTGATCGTCAGGGAGTGTGAACATTGGTGATATTCTGTATAAACGTGAGAGACAAGCTCGATACTCTGGCCTGATCTCTGCGGTTCCATATGTTAAAACTTGACAACTTTCTATGGGCCTCAAGGGGCTATCAGTACTTACCTGCTCTAAGGCAAGTGGCGATAGTAGAGATGGCGTGGTCGTCGTCTAAGAGCTTGAAGATATCCTTGCCTTTTGTTTCCATTGGGATATTGATTTCATGAACTAGGCCAGTCGTAACCGAATAGTAGTTGATAGCCTGCTGCAAATTCTACGTTTCATTAGCCTCGGAAGTCAGTGGGCATTAAAGTGTGTAGGAAACCTACATAATCTTCGTCTTTTACTTCGTCATCGAAACGCTGGTAGACATTGATGATGCATCTTCGTGCACGGAGCGAGATGAAATTGGCCGATAGATCTTCAAAGAAGACTGAAAGTTGTCGGAGTTGAGTGGCCAAGTTCTTTGTTTGAGAAGGCAGCAGTGACGACGAGAATATCATTTTCGAGAGCAAGTTGTCCCAACCAGTGGAAGGCGCAGCTCGATGAATCATGTCAATGAAAATCTGTGTCATTATTAGCAGCATAGATCAACGCAAGGAATTCGACCAGGACTAACCAGCCAAGTGCAATCCTGCGAGATGCTAAAATAGGCTGCATCGCCCTCAGCCATGACAAGAGCCTGGAGAAATGTGAGAGATGAACAAAATGTGTCTCCAACAAGTCGAAATGAAATTAATCACCTTTTTCACGATGGCTCCGCCAAGATCACGCGTTATGAAGGCTATCGGGGTTCTCTGACTCTGCAGCATACGTTAATGTTAGCATGTACCCAGTTATGCCTCCCATCAAAATTGCCTGACCTTATCAATCTCAGATCTTTGAAGCGACAGTGCCTTTAGGAGCACTTCAGAAATCCGAGTGAAGCCCTCGGTTAGGAGAGAGTCAACGCCATCATTCACTTTGGAATTGAAAACCATGACGCGTGCATTGATTTGCACATAAAGATCTTGAAGAACGGCATTTCTCTCTTTCTCATTAGTCGTGTCGGTCATCCAAGGTTCACGCGAATCTCGTCCCATTCCATCAACGATGATGATGCTACTTCAGCTGATTAGATATCGAGAGACATTTTGACAACAAATGTTGTTCTTACTCAATGTTGGGGGAATCTTTGGGTTGGTGAATGACTTCTAACCTCCCCGCATGATCCGTCGGCTCATTGTCGCTCGGCATACTGATATTCGGGCCGTATCAGGGATGGAATATGTTCTAACAGATGTCTCTTAGGATAGGTGATCTTTTAGAATCTCAGCGTATGTTGAAGCAATGGGGTGAATTGCGAAGTCTCGCTGCTTTTAAACTGCGGCACAGAGTGGTGGGTGGATGGAGAGGGCCGTGCGGGAAGATACGACACGTGTGCAGTACAAAGGGATGTTGTGTACATGTAATAACTCCGTATTAGTAGTGGGTGGTTGAAATGAAACTCGTTATCTTGTGTAACCATTGTATTTCTTGCTGGCTGAGTATGGTTACACCGAATTCTGGCCCCCACGAGGAGGAGTAAGGCAAGCAGCAAAGCAGTAGGTATAGTTCTCACCGCAACTCTGATTTTTCCTCCTTCTTTTTTTTTGTTGCATCTTCATCGGCTCAATTACAACGTTCAATCCTTGACTGCGCAAGTCAAAGCTCGCGAATATGAGTGAAAAAAAGGAGTATTCGGCAGGAGCTGTCAAGAATTGGTTCCAGAACCTGGATACTCCCGACACGCCAGCCAACGAAACCGAATTAAGCACAGTCGAGGCGTTAGAGAAGTTACTCTTGCCGGAAATTGATACCCAACAGCGAAAGAAATTCCTAGAAGTCCTAGGCACTGGGGAAGACAATGCGAACTTGCAAGAGCAACAATGGAAAGTTACCTCTATGCACCGGGCTCTGGCAAACAAATTTCAAGAAATTGGCATGGAAATTAAAACGGACAAAGACGTCTTGAACATGCTTCTGAAAGATGAACATGAAAAGGCTGAAAAGGATGAAAAATTCTTGGCATATCTGTGTGCCTGTGGATGGGGGGGATTCAACATTCTACACACCATCCTCAACCCGACTATATATGAAAACAACTGCTTCTCTATTGATGCTGTAAAGCCTCTGATCAGATTTCTTCTACACATTCATCCAGATCTGCCCACGGGAAAATCAACAGACGGAAAGAACCAGCCACCTATATTTGTGGCGCTTCAAACCTACCGAAACTCTAGCAACAAGACGAAGGACAGTAATCAGACGTTGGAGTTTAAATCATCTATCAAGGAAAGTATTATCCGCTTTCTATGCGAGACCGACGATAATGGATTGGGTTCAAAAATGGCCATCAGATCTCTGGCACAGATGGTCGAGGGCAACAAGGACAGCTGCAACGCGATCCATAAGATCATCTCGAGCGCCGACTTTAAAATCTCTGAGGCCGTACTGACGGAATTGAGAAGTATCATGATTTCAGAGGGACAACACAGTGGAAACGAGATATGTTGTTTGGAAACGCGCGATGGTCAGGGCAGAACATGCCTGCATATAGCACTCACAGCCCCCCTGAATGAACGCAGCATATGGTGGGCTGAAAGACTATCCGAGCTTCTCCCTGATCTACTTAAAGCTACATGCCCATCAGCCATCAAGAAGCAGGACAACGATAAGGAGCAGCTTACGCCGCTGCAATACTTCGCGGAGCAAAGGTCTCAAAAAGAAAGCGACGGTGAACTCAATTTGACACTTAACGACTTGGAGGCCTTTTTAAAGCGCCAGTGCCTGATAAATTTTAAGATTGACACCTGCAAGAGCATTATGTATGGGAAAGGCGCCGGTGAGCAAATTGTACCTACCTATCTGGAGGTGCCAAGGTGCCCATTTCTACCTATGGAGACTGACACAAGAGTAGCGAAAGAGATTTTTCTCACACTCGACGATGACATCGTCTCTTGGGAGTCTCTTGAGTCTCAAAAGTTACACTACAAGCTAGATACGTCGCTCAAGAGAGTACACATCTCCAACAGTGTTTCCATTCATTGGGATGAATTTAGCTTGGAGGCTCGCAAGATTGCAACAGGCTGGAAATGCGCCGGAAACTTCGATCTCTTTATGGTTTTCTTTTGGCTAAAGCACGAAATCGATGTCAAGAAGATCATCGAGGTGGTTGTTGACGACGGAGCTGGAGGGGAGGAGAGCCCGAGCGATGGTTCAGAGATTGACAAAAAACCGCACAGCGACCAAGCTATCATCGAATGTCTCAAAGGCCTAGCTGTCGAAATTCTGAACTGGAAGCGAATGGATATCCCTGCGGAAGTAATTATTAAAGGGGCGGGGAAAGACGTTAGGCGTCTACATTTATACTGCAGTGGTTCTCAGGCCGTGCTACAGAGCTGGGCAGATTCGAATGGCCTCTCGAAACTTGAGAATGTAAGCATCTTCCTCCTCCATCTAATATATGTGGTTTTTGACCGTCCGCAGCTAGCGCACGTCTTTGTAGTGATACACCAAGTAAGGCTCCGAGAACCCTTGAACGGAGACTTGCGCTTACTGAACTGACTTTACCAATATATAGGGTCTAGAATCATTCGATTGGGTCAATGAACACGCGAAAGAGTTTGCGGCAGATTTGAAAAAAAAATTTGAGGAATTAAACCCAGGGAAAACACCCCTGGTTGTCGATTATAAAATCATCAGACCCAAGAAAGCGCTTGGGGCTAAATCTGCTGAATCGGAGGTCAAAAATCGGGACCAACAGGGATTTGAAGAGTATGTCTCTTGCTGGGACAAACCAGATATCAACTGCTAACCATGCTATTTAGGCAAGATTGGCTGAAGTGTATGGACGAGTTTGCCGATATTATGGAGGCAGTTGAACAGCAGCCCGACTCCGCCAGCAAAGTCAGTAAAGAAGTCCTTGCTGCTCTTACGTGGTTCCTCATGGGTGAAACTTCGCTAATCCAGCGATACAGGATATCCAAAAGTCAACACACCCCATCAGAGTCGCCCTGATCGACGACGGAGTCAAGACGAGCTATGCGGGGCTGGACAACAATATTCATACAGGCAGGTCAGGTTGGCAGCAGCCGGATTCTCCAACCATCCAGACGGAAAATAGCCAGTGGGAACACTTTCGAGGCTACAACAGCTCCCACACTGGGCATGGCACCGTCATGGCCTACTATATCAAGCGGGTTTGCCCAAGGGTCAGCCTCTACGTAGCAAAACTCGATTGTAAACCTCGCCGAGGCGGTGCCGGCGGCGGCAGCGAAAATGTCACCTTCTCCCTCGATTCGGTTGCCCAGGTGAGTGAACAGATATTACCTACTACCTTGAGATACAAAGGACTGACCATGTAGGCGATCGAGTGGGCTGTGGAACAAGAGGTAGACATCATATCTATGAGCTGGGCCATCGAAAAGGGCAGTACACCGCCCTACAAGCCGCTGCGGGATGCGATCGAAAAGGCTGTGGAAAAGAACATCATCCTTTTCTGCGCAAATCCTGACAATGGCACAGGCTATATAGATAATGGCACATACCCATGGTCCCTGGACAATGCTCACATCATCTGCGTCGGCGCTGCTACTCAGAGCGGCGTCCGCTGGAATCAGATCGACGCCAAAGATGGATCATGCAAATACTTCTTCCCCGGCGTCGAGCTCGGCATCCAGGTCGAGACGAAGCAGCGGAGGAATCCGGATGGGCCCCCCCGAGAATGGTGCGTCTCCCCCTGCCTTACTTGATCCCTTAGATCGTGATCCAAACTGATTAATTCCCGTCTCTATATGATAGGCGCACGCATAGTGGGAGCTCGTTGTCGTGCGCACTTGCAGCTGGGCTAGCGGCTATGATATTGCATTGCTCCTTGGTTACTGGAGTTGCGACATTCGGCAGCCGGAAATGGGAGTGGTAGGTCGTCCATGCCTCTTGTGATGATACAACTTCAGTCACCATACATTCAATCTGAACCGTGAGAAATGCTAATCGCTATTTTCGGCTAGGCTGCGGTCTCATAAAGGCATATGCAGTGCGTTTGATAGGATACAAGTCGATAAGATGGCCAGTGGTTGGCTGCCAGTGCGTAGGTTTTTTGGGCCGGTCGTGGCCAATCCGAGTGAAGACAGTGACAGCAAGGCGCAAGCGATCCAGAGTCTGATCAAAGACATCTTCCAAGGAATGCCATCTCACTAGGCATTAAATAGCAAGTTTAGCAATTGATCTATTCTATTTAACCGTTTAGAAACGAACATCTCGTAAAAGGGCGGCACTGCTCTGATCACGCCGAAAGATTGCATCAAATACTCAATATTGTACCTATGCATACGCCGTAACTTGGGTACTCCCGGAATAATTGACAAGGTCACTGTTTTATTGGTGATCTTTGCATTAGTAGTAGTTTCGTGATTGTTGGAAGCATGGCCTGCATGAAGTATCCACTACTTACGTGGTTTATTCATATTTCGTGGTTTGATTACTAGTATGTGGTTGTACATCATGTTTGGAGGCTGGTAGTACGCACAGATTTGATCCCTGATTGTACCTCCCCATCTGCTACTAAGCTACAGTGCTACCTCGTATTACTACCTACCTACAGGTAGGTATGCTATCAAGGTCCTGAGGTATTTCCTAATATAAATCCCCCCTAGTTAGTACCTACCTACTAAGGTGTGTAATCCAGGAAGAATATATTGACCTAATAGAATTTACTACGTTATAAAAAGTACATGGATACTCCTTCTTCCTAAAGGACCTATATATCAGCAGAAAAATCTCGACACTGTTATCTACAGGTAGGTATATTCCTACTACTAAGGTACCTACCTCACTTGGTGCCTGTAGTTTGGGCTCCTACCTGGGAGGTAGCTTGTAGTACCTCCAGGTAGGCAGCAGGTACTACCTACGGCTGCCTACATGTACTTTTGTAAATTGCATGCTCGTTCTCACCGACAAAATGTCGTTGCAGCTCCTTGTATACCCATGACCATGCATCTCGGGAGATAAGCAGCAGGCGTCCAATGAGCGCTACGTACGGCTTATGCCGGACACAAGCCAAGCCGTAGCTATAGGAACCTTGATAGATATGTTGCTGATATGAGAGTTAGTTGGTTGCGTTGATCGGGTAGGTACGGTATGTTCAGTATCACTTCAGAGCCTTGCGGACCATTGTTCCCGCGAGAGACATGTATAGACCACAAGGGGACCCCCTTTATATACTACTAGGTAGCTACGCTGGAGATACCATCGGCATCTAGTCTTCTTCCGCCCATCGACAAACAGCTTGATTACATTCATCTTAGCAGACAAAATGGGTACCTTCACTATGAAAGACAATCCAGACATCAGAAGGCTCCTTTCTAGCCCGCAGTCTGAAGACGACACGCGCTTCGACGTCATGCTTCTCGACGAGGATTCTTGGAAAGATGATGACCAAAAGGGTGCAGTACTAAAGACATCCTTTATCATTCCGGGATCTAACCTTGGTGGGGATGAGGAGCATGGCATGAGGGTGATTCAAAAGGATCTCAGCAAGGATGCGCTCACAGTTCAGTGTGATCTGCCTCAGATCACCCACGGCACCATGTCAGATGGGGGGGCACCCGCAACGCTGATTGTGTTCCAATTCGCATTCATGCCTCGAGACAATCGCAAGCGCTTCAAGAAAGCTACCATCACGATACGCTTTTCAGATGGCGAAGTCACTAATATTACGCCAGATGGCTCCTGGGCGACGTTTCAGTCGGAGACACAGCAAGAGCTGAGCCATAGCGTTAATCCTACTTTGGAGGCGGGGATTGAAATCGCGAAAGCGACGGTGGGATACACGTGGCAGCTTAAAAAGAACACAACGATTGAGGGCCATTCCACTGTGTTAGGCTGCACTCAGACGCTGGGGCAATCAAGCAGCACGAGAAAGGCGAGAAAGAACGCCATTCTATGGGTATTGCAGGAGAACCCACAAACAAAGAGCGGAATCCCGAGCTTCATGCAGGCCGCTGCCCTGTTAAAACGGGAGGGGACAACTGCAGACCCAATGGGCCATATGTTCAGCGCCGAGATCACCATCCGAGGCGAGGTAGAAACCCATAACTTGGTCACAGACAAGCTGGAGAATCTCAAGAAGATGTTTGGTAATCGCAAAAGGGGGCAAAATATCTTCTTCGACCCAAACAGGAACAGGGGAGTTTTTGATAACGTCGATGACTTGGGAGAGGTGAATCTGGATACCTACAAGCAATTAGTCACCATCAGGCCATGGGTGGATGGAAATGGAAAGGCCACGGATCAAGTTCTCGTGCCCCCAGAGGTAACACAGGATGAGTTTGCGGCCCAGCCTCTTCCTCAGTTACCAGGTACGGAGCCTGTTGCTGTATCTACAGCTCAAGGGATTATAGCTGCTAGTCCTTCTGTGGAGGATGGAACCGGGGAAATCACTTCACATCTTTCAGCTGGCAACTCCGATGAGAGGCTTTACAGGTCACGAATGAAGACAGATGCCCTCATGCTGGCAAATTCGACATCAGCAAGTTCAATTTCTGAAGATGATGGGGTTGAGGATCGGGTTACATCTCTCAACACAGACGAGAAACGACAGAAGCTCGAAGATTTGGAAGAAGAGCTGCTGTTGGTGAGGAATGAGACAAGACTGGTAACTCAGCTGTTCATGCTGGGGAGGGAAGAGGGAAGGCTCCTCAAGGAGAAGAGAAAGCTGAGGTGATTTCCTTGAGGAACCAGCGATCTGTGTAGATCACAGACAGGTTTTCCATACACAGAGCATACGAAATACGTTGAAGTTGAAGCAAGCACTCATTGATGAATACAATACCCAGTATAAGCCAATCAGGATCCGGTTATCGAGTTTTCAGATCCAGCCCAAGTCAACTCCATCCTTTGAACCGTTTCCAGGTACATCGAAGCAGTTCCACTCAATTAATCAGCCACGCACGTGACTCAGCCTCGTCCACGATTGTGGCGCTCCCAAAGCTCCCAAGCCATATCGATTCTTTCCAAATCCTCCCCATTCAAAGCAAATCTCCCAATTGATATCATCATCCCCCCCCCAAAAAAAGTTCACAACATCATCACAGCCTCGTCACATTTCTCTGTATAAAAAAAGCACCCCCAAGATGGCCAATTTCCTCGCCTCCATCTTCGGCACCGAGCTCGACAAGGTCAACTGCTCCTTCTACTTCAAAATCGGCGCCTGTCGCCACGGCGATCGCTGCTCGCGAAAACACGTCAAGCCCTCGTACAGCCAGACCATCCTCATGCCGAACCTGTACCAGAACCCGGCCTACGACCCCAAGAACAGGATGAACCCTTCGCAGCTGCAGAACCACTTTGACGCCTTTTACGAGGACATTTGGTGCGAGCTTTGCAAGTACGGCGAGCTGGAGGAACTCGTCGTCTGCGACAACAACAATGATCGTATGTTGTACCTTTTCCCCCGACCTTCTTCCATCTATATGGCTCTCCTCCCATAGCTAACAATCTCTCTTACTAGACCTCATTGGAAACGTATACGCCCGCTTCAAATACGAAGACTCCGCCTCCGCCGCATGCGAACAGCTAAACAGCCGCTGGTACGCCGCGCGCCCCATCTACTGCGAACTCAGCCCCGTCACCGACTTCCGCGAGGCCTGCTGCCGCCTTAATTCAGGCGAGGGCTGCGTCCGCGGCGGCTTCTGCAACTTCATCCATCGCAAGAACCCCAGCGATGAGCTCGACCGAGAACTCACGCTCAGCACCAAGAAGTGGCTCAAGGTGCGTGGCCGGGACGAGCGGAGTGTGAGCCGGTCACCCACGCCGGAGCCCACCAGACGGAGGTTTTAAGGAGGAACATGCGTATTACGCGTAATCAATGGGAACTGTTTTTGGGAATCAAGGATAATTAAGGGATACATGTACTCTTGCGCTCAAGGTCTGGCGTTCCGGTGGGCATCTTCTAAAGCAAAGTTAATAAGTCATCAAGAGAGTTTACAATGTTTAGCAATATATCGAGCACATGAATCAAAATTGATATAGTTGATATATTGCCAGCCCTCCCAACGCTGCCGTCCCATCGCATGCCCGTGTTAAGACCCAAAGATCTGCTCCCTGCCAACACTGAAAATTAAGCTCAAATGCATCACGGTGCGCGCCCATTTATATCGTAGCCTAGCCCGATGTTGTTTGCGCCGTTATTCTGTCAAGGTATTTCCTAGCCGCCTAGCCAATGATTACTCCCAAGATTTTCATTCCTCACACAACATCTTCAACCCCCATTTTTTGATTTTGTCCTACAGGAGGTCGCCATCTGCGGGCAAGTCCTTCTTCAGGTCCTGAGCAAAGTCGATCAGGGGGCCTTCTGCGGGCTTGCCAGTCGCCGTGAGCATGCGCTCGATTTCGTCCGGTGACTTTGCAGCCGGTGTGGGAGCATCGTCATTACCAAAGTCGATAAGGCTATCCTCTTCCTTGGGCTCTTGAACCACATGGGTTGTCGACTTTTTGGCCACCTTTGGCGAGGAAGCCCGTGATGGGATGGACGTCGCGCCACTAGATGTCTGGTTAGGTACGATTGGGTATATGGCGAGGATCTGTTCAGTCTGTTTCTCGGGAGACGCTGCGGTATCGCTGCGGGGTGTTAGCTGTTTGACCAAAGATGCTTTGTGGGGATGGCACCAACATATGAGCATTGATGATCCACTCCAAGCTTTCTTCGCCTTCCTCTGGCTCTCCAGGCCTGCTCTTAACAGGACGGAAGAGGCGCGGGAGCCATTCGACATTGTCCTGGGCCCTGGCGGCCGCCTCCTCGCGCTGCCGGTCTTCGATCTTTGTCTTTTCGTCCGTGGCCAGCTCGTGGTTGCGCTCATTAACGGCCTTGGCAGTCTTTTCCCATAGTCTTTGAGATTCTCGCTCTTCTTGCTCCTCAATTGGCCGAGCCTTTGGTGAGCTGGGCTTTGACTTGGTAGCGTTAAAGAACATGTCTTGGTGGCCGGTCTTTCAAGTTACTCTTGTCAGCAAAATTCGCTATGCCTGGAATGGGCGACTTACCCTCATATCCTTGATGTACATTTCTGCGCTCCATAGGCCCGAAAGCTCAAACAGGACTTCGCCAGTACTCTCCCTCTTGATTACACCGCCAATAGCGTTGTAAGTGCCTCCAACCCAGCCCTTTGTCTTAAAATCAATGTCGGCGGTCAAGTCAAGTTCGGGACACCGGACAAAGCTGTGGTCACCAAGCTCATACTTCAAACCGCCGATTAAGATTCCCCTCGCATACATGTTGGGTTGTGTTAATATGCTACGAGAAAGTTAGCAATTAGAATCGCTGCGACGGATCTACTGGGGATGTGACTGACTATTGCTCTCCCTTGGACCTATTGCTACCCCTGTTTAGCAAGGTAAGGAAAGCAATGCCCTCCATCAAGCTGGCAGCGGAGTTGCCCAGGAATCTACTCCGGGGCTTGAGGGTACCATCAATTCGGATATGGTGATCGGGGGCCATGTAGAAGTAACTTGACTTGGGAGGGTGGTGCGAAGTCTGTTCGGAGATGTAGTAGGCTCGCTTCTCGTTCTCGAGATCCCAGTAGCAGGAGAAGATTTCGCCCAGGATTGGATTCAGCGGTTTCTTGACTCCCCTATGCTTGATCGTTAGCCAAATGCACCGTTTCCGTTAGAACAGGCTCACGTACGGTGGGCGAATGTGCCAGCCGCTCAGGTAGAATTTGACGACGGAAACAAATCGCTCGGTAGGATCGTCGATGGTGGGAATATGCAGGAGCATCTCGGGGTGGCACATGAAGCTGCAACCGGGTCAGCACGGCTGCCAAGTAAGCAGAGCTCAAAGACATACTTTGTTATCCTCTCCAGCATGCTTCGGGGCTCGAGAATAAACGTGGGCAAGACCACGCGACTCAGGTCCGCGCCAGGACGCAATTGTGAGATGATGTGCATGAGAACTGCAGTCTAGTGAGCCCAACGATTCCCATTTTTCAGAGCGATTCCAGCTCTCCATGTCGCCATGCCAAGCTTCACCTCCCCTCCCCCGCCATGGTGTTGCGCAGCTTACCATTGCCCTGTTCCGGCTCCAGCCCCTGGGTATCGTCATCTTTATCGATCTTGCCTTCGTCGGTTGAGGATCGATTGCCTGCAGATTGCGTAAGCCAGCCGGTAAGCATTTTGAATGTTTTCGCAAAGCAGTTCAACAAGTGGAAACGTAGGTGAAGGGTCGTGAAGCCGCGGGACCGCCCGGGCTCGCAGGAGGAAGGGAATAAAAATGAATGGGTGTGTAGGGCTGCTCTCCCTAGTGTGGGTAGACAAGGGAAAAGCCTCGTCGTCTCTGCTTCGTGCGCGTGTCTTGGGAAACCCGGGGATAAGAATTTAAAAAAAAAACGAAGTCATCCAGGTGCTGAAGAAATGACGAAGGCGGAGGGGTCAAATGGCACAGCACTCACTACCAGCCGTAGACGCTCTACTCCTCCGGGGGAGATTTAGCACCGACGTAAGCCCCATGGCCCGAAATTAAGCTGCTGTAGAGCTCGCTCGTTCGGGAAACAGTGGAAAAGAGAGAAAAAATCCAGCGGCCGGCAGCCCCTCTCACTCCTAAATTTTTTAAGATTGAGCAGAGCAATGGCTAGGCTCAAGCATACAAGACGAGTCGTAACGAAAGCAGGTATTCGAATTGCAAGATTGCGGCAGAGGAATTCGGGTTGTCGTCTTCGTCTGTGACCTTTTGCACTTTGGTGGGCGTAAAAAGCAGAGCAGCGCAGCGCAGACCAAGGGTGGCGGAGCGTCGGTTACTCTGGATTGATGACTGACGTACTTTGGGGCGAGCTGTGAAGCTTAGTAGGTGTTGTAGGTCTAATGTAGTAAAAATGATGGCTCGAAACCCACGACCCCGGGAGAGTGCTTAGCAAAAGCGAGGAGAGGAGGGAAGCGAGGAGAAATGAGGACAGAAATAAAAGGGAAAAGGAAGCGAAGACAGAGGGAAGCTACGTCAAGCTAGAAAACCAGGGTATTGTCTTTCTGGTATTAGCCAAGTAAAAAGTCAACGTCCGTTGTACTCATCCTGCGGCATGTGTGTATGAGCTGATCTACCTAGTACCAAGGGCTCGAATTACTGGCCAACCCCATGTACGGCTTTTCATTTACAGGTGCCTGCAGCCACAGGGCGGTTGAATGCGTCCGGCGGATGCCACCGAACCGGCTATTGCACTTTGGCTGCGTCTTGAAAGAATCCGGGTGCCTATGGAGGAGAATGGGGGATACGTAAGGATATTCGTACATACTGGGCCTCCTGTACTTTGAAGAGACCCAACCTCTAATGATGATGCCATAGCTCCGATTGACAGAGGGCGGCAAAAAAAAAGCAGAGTGAGGGCCAGCCACATGTAAATCCACGCCTTTGTCTGTACGCTTTTGCGCAAAATACGATGTATCGGGTACCTATCAGGAACCACATCATCACATGCCAATTACGTACTCTCTACATGAATCTATGACGTTGCCGCTAAACCTGTCACAGGGTCAGCCAATCTAGCCGCCGGGTGATGTACTCGGTACCTCTGACAGCCCTCACCAAGCTTGATCTTCTCAGCGGAACACGCACCTTGGACCGCCGCGTGTTGCCGTGACGAAGCACCCACAGAGACAATCCGCATATATTCTACATACCTGTCTGCACAGGCACATATCCCCCTATCTACGTCTAGACGCATGTCGAGATACCTCAGCTCCTGGCCAAGTCGACTCAACAGTTTCTGTACTAGCTACATGTACCTACTGCTAACGCTCAGCTGCTAACCTCCTTCGACGGCAAAGCTCTCTCAGTCAGATCCGGCATCGTGCCAATATACCGCCTTATTACTGGACCCCCCGAATCTCATCTCTCCAGACAACGCACGCGCACGTTAGACATGTATTCTTAAACCCCCGGCTAACAAAGGGAAACACTGCACAGAATCACTCTACTGTACTTTACCTTCTACAAAGTAATCATCCCGAGCCAGATATTACAGCAATAAGCTGGCAGCAGTAGTTACCACCTCTGTGCTAAGTAACGAGACCAAGCCCATAAGCAGCCAACAAAATCTCCTTACGGCCGTAGTTTTGTCCAAAAATTTAATAGAACATACATTAGCAAATCCCAACAAATTCCCCCCTTCCCTTTCACAAGCCAAAGAACAAAGAAGAAGAAAAAACCACCTTCGACTTTCCCTTTTTCTCAGCTTCCCCATAATACTTCGGCCGCCGGAACCCTCTCCGAGCCGCGGTTCCCCCCCAAACTGCCAACGCACCTCGGAGTCGATATAAAGTCCGGCGATCAACCATGCACCGGACAAGGGGGGAAACAAAACAAAAAGGACGCTGTAAATAGAATAAAGAAAACCGAGAAAAAAAAAGAGGTCATGCAATCTTACTAGCACCAGAAGCTTCAATATCCCGCCGCTCCCGAGTTTGGCACATGGGAACGAGACTTTGCCGCTACGGCCTCATGCAGTTTAGAGAGGGGGCCCCAAAAGGTCGGGGGGAGAGGCGGCTTGCCTTGACTTCTTTGGTTTATCATGGATGGGTGTAAACACAAAAGAATTGCCACCGCCCCTGATTACTATTGCTTTCTAATAACTATGTTGTTCCGGCTGACGGACATCATGATCACGACTTTACACAAGGAAACTAGGCAGCGGATGTGGCGACTTCACACAAAGACAAAGACTAGCCCGATAATTGTGCGCGTCACACTGAGTCCTCAAAACGGCATCTCATCTGCAGACCAACATGCTCCAATTATGCTAGCTTGCCCATCTACTCTTCCAAGGGGCACTCGGTTTCTAGAAGAGCAGAAAAAGAAA